GTCTTTTGGATATTTAACCAATGGTTGCTGGTGGGCTTAACATGTAAGCCTATCGCCACTGAAAGTATTTATATTTACAGATATTTACTATATAGAGCTATAGAAAACCATCACATCCTAGTTCGAAACCACGTGTACTGAATACTTTAGTTGCCATTACATCATTTTGAACGTTTTTATATCCATTGTCTTAAAAGTTAAAGTAGGATATTGCTTGATGACAGGTGATCTGAATATCAACAAAAATGTCTACGTTTAGTTACTGAATTCTTGATGACTTGTTTTGGATATCTTTGCGATTATTGCTATATGTCGTATATCAGTCGAAATGACAACCTTTAATACTATAATTCCCAACGGGTTATAATCTTCAGAATATGAAACGAAGTAACAATTTCACTGTATTCTAACATACAGCTAAAATTATACGATTAACAAGCACGTAACTAGAGGGATGAGTGAGTGAACATGGTTTAGAAGCGAAATATATGTTTATATGCAATTGATTAATCAGTTGCTAAGTATTTAACCGGACAAAAGGAATAAATGAATATTCAGGCACTGTATTCGATCTTAAATACTCATTTATGCAAGCGTAAAGATAGATACAAATTCTCATAGACCAAAATAACATTGTCCGTTTGCTAAATAGGGCGATTCAAGGAATTTAGCAATCTAAACACATAAAACATAGTCTGAGGATACAGAAACTTTTGGCAAAGAATCCTGAACGTACTTTTACCAATGCGAAAGATTCGATTTCAGACTTGAATGTCAAGCGTTTTTCCAACTGTACGGCCGAGAGTGGGGAGAGTTCGCTATCCATCTCCAAATGCTCTCACATGGCCACGCGTATATAGCCACTGCCAGGGAAGTCATACTCATTGCCTTCTCGCACCAAGGGTGTTGTTTACGAAAGTGAGAGAACGAAAAGCGAATGTCCGCTTCAACTGGATCCAAAACCAATGGTGCACATGGGCTGGCTCCAGTATCCTGAAGAAACAAATGACGTATGAATCAATCGTTGGTTACCGGCTACCATGGGATTGCATCTCCTTATGATGCACCACTGCCTTGTGGGTTAGACCACTAGGTTGAAGGTTCGAGATGTGGCCCTCTAAGTAAACCACCTGCTTCGGTTTGGGCTACCGGGCAGTATCACAGCCCTCACACATATCAAATGAGATTTGTGTGACGCATATATATTTGCTGCCTCCTTGTACCAATATCTACGTGTTAAAATAAATAAAATACTTAATAGGATATTGTGAGTGTATGTGGTAAAACTTTAATTCAGAGTACCAAGCTTCTACATTTTATTAGTGAAGGATCATTTACTGTAATAAAATTCTTATTCGTTCACCAGCATACATGATTCTTTATTACTATATTTTGTTGTTTGGATCCCTCTCTTAAGGAATAAAACAAACAATTCATTGAAAGTGTGGTTTTGCATTCTAAGGGGCAAAAATATATATATGAGTGAGTGTAGATGTTGTTTTACATTCTGTTTACCCAATAAAGCTTTCTTTCTACTCTCGGTGCGTAACTTCCAGAACTCAAATAACACAGAATTAGGCTTCTGGAAAAATGTTGATATATCAGTTGTGCACACACCGAGTCAAATAATCAAGAACACAGCAACTCTAGAATGAAATGGTTCTAAACATAATAAAAGATAGAGATTTATACTACTAAAATAGTTTTACATTAAGTCTGTAGTGACCCACTTTTAGCAACAGAACGCGATTGGTGTAATGGAAACAATTACTATTATAACCATTTGTACCAGTGATTGTTTTGCTGTGCTCGTTTGTTTAACTGTACCAAAGACATCCTTCGTTCCGTTGATTGTGACCTTGTACGCGCTTATGCTTGCTTAGTGAATCCGCTTGTACTCCTCAGTACGATCTCGGTATTGTTTCGATACCACGAGATAGCCAACAAATACATCTCGACTACAGCCATCATCTGCCTTCTGATTTTGACCAACGGGGATCCTATTGGTTAATTGGCACGTAGTCTTCTTATAGTGGTGTTCATAGTCAACCGCTACTCGACGCCATCCTACAAGTCCATGCAACAAATAAGTACTTGTTAAACTGGTGATGATCAGGCGCTTCAGTCGCGCGCCCGAATGAATAACCTCTAGACCACTGAGGGGGTATCCAAATGTGTTTATAACTAACCTCAACCAATCCACGAAGTTGCGATACCATATTTCATTGTAATGAGGTAGATACCTGTATCTACCTGACAGGCATCAGCTCCACTGGTCACGGCCTCTCACTAGAACTTTGAGAATTCCCTCACGAAGTTAGTCACTAGTGAGCAAATGGTACAATGGAAGGTGGTCGAGAAATTTCGTCGATTGGTTGAAGTTAAACATTAGAAACATTTGATGTCGATCCAGTAGTCTGGAGGTTAAGCGTTCGTGCGCGAAATTGAAGGTCCTTGGTTTGAATCCGTGGGTGGAATCGTGAATGCGCACTTCTGAGGAGTCATAGACTAGGACGAAACGGGTTTCCATTAGGATTAATATCGAAACTTCAAATATAGAGCATACATAAATATGTGGATACAAATATCTATAAGCTAGAAGAACAGAAAAAACACATAAGCTAACAACTTAGATTACATGATGTTCATATGCAACTTAAAATGAATACATTATTTCAAAAGAAATAGGATTTCAACAAAAGAAATTATTGAAAGTTTCGCCTGGAGCCCCTCTTGAGCTACTGCCGGTCCCAAGCCCGGATAAGGGAGGAGGGTTGAGCATGGGGTTAGCGACCTCATCTCGTAGAATACTAATTCGCTAAGAAAACTCAAGTTACAAAATAATTCATTATCACTCATTGATCTTATTACTGCAATGATCAATCATGTAAGGATCTTACAATGTGGATTGATATCATTTTCATTAAAGATATTCCTTCTTCATCTTAAGATATTTGTGAAATACCATTTTCAACTAGTACAAAACATACATACATACTTACTTACTTACGCCTGTTACTCCCAATGGAGCATAGGCCGCCGACCAGCATTCTCCAACCCACTCCCTATCCTGGGCCTTCTTTTCTAGTTCCATCCAATTCTTGTTCATTTTTCTCATGTGTTCTTTGGTCTTCCTCTCCTCCTTTGGCCTTGAGGAGTCCATGTGAGGGCTTATCTTGTGACGCAGTTCGGTGCTTTCTTCAATGTATGTTCAATCCACTTTCAGCGCTTCTTCCTGATTCCTTCCTCCACTGGGATCTGATTTGTTCTCTCCCATAGTAGGTTGTTGCTAATAGTGTCTGGCCAACGGATCCGAAGTATTTTGTATAGACAAATGTTAATAAACACTTGCATCTTCTGGATAATGGATTTCGTAGTTCTCCAGGTTTCCGCCCCATACAGTAGGACTGTCTTCACATTTGTATTGAAAATTCTGACCTTGGTGTTGGTTGACAATTGTTTTGAGTTCCAGATGTTCTTCAGTTGTAAATATGCTGCCTTCACATCTGCATCAGATCCACCGTGTTCATCGATGATGCTGCCCAAATATGTAAAGGTATTTACATCTTCCAAATCTTCTCCGTCAATTGTGATTGGATTGTTGCATGCTGTGTTGTATCGGAGAATCTTCCTTTTCCCTTTGTATATATATTGAGACTTATTGCTGCTTGGGCTGCAGCTACACTGGTCGTCTTCTCCTGAATTTGTTGTTGCGTATGCGATCGAAGAGCCAGATCATCTGCAAAGTCTCAATCATCCAATTGCATCCTAGCTGTCTACTGTATCCCGTGCTTCCCTTCAGATGTTGAAGTAAAAAACATAAACTTCATGAATAATAAGACAAATCATTATGAATTTCAAAGATAGAACAGTACTTGCTCATGAATGTATCTTGTTATATTTCCCTCTTATTATACAACCCATCTATTCCTATTGCTTAGTAGTCTTGGACACCAATTCACCAAACAAGTCCTTAAATAAGGATATCGTTGAACAGGAAAGAGATTATATTCCAAATAACAATGGATAAATGGAGGTCAAAAGCACAATAACAGAAACATTAGTTGGTTGACGTTAGACATTAACACCGTCGGATGCCGGCTCAGTGGTCGAGTAGGTTAGGCGTTCGTGCGTGAGACTGAATGCCCTGGTTTTGAACCCTGTGAGCGGGGTCGTGGATGCTTACTGCCACTGGGGAGTCCCACAGTAGAAAGAAACGGCCGTCCAGTGTTTCGAGGTTTTCAATGGTGGTCTAACATCAATCGGTTCATGATATCAATTAGAAACATTAGTATCTTTATACTATTTACATGAAATGATTCTAGAGTGTTCTTCAAGTATCACCTAACTGTGATTGATTAAAAGTTAGCCAATCAGCATACATCAATGCAACTGTCCATGGAATATGCTTTCATTCAATCTATGCCCCCGGTTAACCTATTTAATCATCAAACTTCCATCGAATAACTTACAAAATAAGTTCTGCTAAGATTTTTATGGTTTTAATAGTCTACACTACCAACTAACTTACTTACATACTTACGTCTATTACTCCTAATGGAGCATAGGCCGTTGACCAACATTCTCCAACCCACTCTATCCTGACACCACCATCTAAACTGGTGTAATGATTTATATATAAACACTTCAATATCGTACAAATTCTATTGGAAATGATTATTACATGAAGATCAAAGGTGACTGATTCTTTTGTTTCTATACTAGTCAGTCATTTGTTAACTTACAAATGTATTCCCCCTTGGTAACTAAATAATTTTCTCTTCTAATTTCGTGCTATTGACTGGTATTCAGGGAAAATAATCAAACCGCAAAATGATTGGCTCATTAAGATACATATATATACATACATAACTATATATATTATGAACTGACACCCTCTATGACCATTAAAACATGAAATGAATTCATCGTCTATTCTTACTACTTATTAATATCTTTATCAGTAGTATAAATTTGAAGATTAAAAAAACACAAAGATTATGAATAAACATACAGATCATTATCATTATGGTTATGAACAAGAAAAAGATCAATTAGAAACTAGTACAAATCAATTAAAAGCTCCATCAAATTATGAAAGGTAATTCAGATTGTAATTGAATTATTCTATACGATTTACTTTTATTTGATGATGATGATTTGGATGATGATGATGATGATGATTTGGATGATGATGATGATGATGATGATGATGATGATGATGATGATGATGATGATGATGATGATTTGGATGATGATGATGATGATGATGATGATGATGATTTGGATGATGATGATGATGATGATGATGATGATTGGGATGATGATGATGATGATTACGTAATGTAAGGACGACGTTTGAACGACATCAGAGTGATGTTAAGCGTGATCAGCTAGTAACTAGGACTAAATGAGGGTTATAAACCAGTGTGTGTGAGAAATTGGAATTAGGATTTTGGGTTTTCATCACGAATTGACATTAGTTAGAATGTCAAAACTCTAGTTAACCAAATGGATAAGTGAATTTCACACCGAAATCAGAAACCTTTTATCTTATACCTGATTGGTTCGTTCATAAATGGTAGACTTGCCGGATTATGTCTCATATAAGTTCCGATAATAATTTATCTGATACGGACTAGCTTCAATGGTCAGAACTTCTCACCAGAACTCCGAGAATTTTCTGACGAAACTAGTCACTAGTGAGCAAATAGTAATTATCAGTTTAGGGGTTGTGGAGATTGTTAAGTTTTTTGATTGACATCATGAACCGATTGATGTGAGACCATCATTGAAAAACTAGAAACAATAGACGGCCGTTTCGTCTTATTGTGGAACTCTTCAGTGGTAGTGCGCATCCACGATGCCGCTCGCTGGATTCGAACCAACTGGGCCACTGGGCCGGCCAGTATTCAACGGTGTTAATGTCTAACCTCAGTCAATCCATGAAATTGCGCGACTATCTTCCATTGTACTGTGGTCGACACTTGTTTCGACCCGACAAGGATTAGCTCCGCTGATCTAATTTACCATTGGGGTAAGGTATCATAGATAGGTAATTGAGTAAGTGTTAACTGACAAAAATGTTTGTTTCCTCTAGTACATTCCATATTCCAATTGATAGATTATAATTCAACATTGATTGAAGCAAAGGATTTTATATGGAAAGTATTAAATATGATTTCATACTATCATGGTATATGCTACTGATATTGATAGATATAAGTAGTATATAACACCAATCGAAAGTAAAATGCTTAGAGGCAAAAGATTGAGAAAATCGAAGAGAACAAAACTAGAAGAAAGAGTTTAAACAATCATTATTCAGATTTAGAATGATAGTGTGATCAGAGCTGTTTCCTGGAATTCTAGAGTAAAGCCGTGATCAATGAAGGTCTGTTGTGAGATAGTAACTTCCTGATGACAATGGTGGATGTGTTGCTCAATGTCGTGGATGAGTTGAAGTTAGACACTAACATCGTTGGATTCCGGCCAGCTCAATGGTCTAAAGGTTAGGTGATCATGCGAGAGACCATTAGGTCATGGATTGGGATCGCGCAAGTGGAGTCGTGAATGAACACTGTTGAGGAGTCGCACACTAGGACAAATCATTATAAAGAATATCTACATATAATTTGATGTATATTGGCTGATTCATTTAAGGGATATTATCATAGTCTTTATCCAGTCAATTGAGATTCATTCATTTCCGATTAACAATCATTTTCAATAGTTAAGATCATGAGTCATTTGAAGCTACACCACCACAGAAAATCTGGAAACACTTGACGGCCGTTTCGTCCTTTTATGGTACTCCTCAGTCGTATGAATCCACGATCCCACTTGTGGTCTAGCTTCAATTGACTCATAATCTCAACTATTGAAATTACTACAATTTCCACAAAAAGAAACCCTTCTGATCCTAATCATTTTCAAACTGGTTTCATTTCCAAACAGTAAAAGCATAGTTATCAGACTATAACTAAACGTATTAAATCTTAAGCTCTATAAACTAATGACCAGACAAAGTATTCAATGATCACTGTCCTAAAAGAAAATACGGCACCTGCTTAAATTCTTCATTTTACTTTTTTTTTTGTTTTAAATATCTAGATTACCTTCTTCTCTACCAGTTCAATCATCATTAAGTAAGTTCTTCTTTTTCTAGTCTGATTTTTATACTTATCAGAATGATGTTGTGGAGATAATTAATTTTTTGATCGAGATCATAAATCGATTGATGTTAGATCATCATTGAAAAGCCTGGAAGCATTGGATGGCTGTTTTGCCCTATTGTGAAACTCTTCAGCAATGTTCATTGATGATCCTGCTCATGGGATTCGAACTTAGGACCTTCATTTTTGTACGAGAACGCTTAACCTTTAAACCACTAAGCAAGTACCCAACGGTGTTAATCGTACTTAGAAAATGTATTTTATTTGGAAAGCTTTGATTGACTAATGAATTTAACTATTAAATTTATAACAATCTTTATAAATCCTCATTCTGACAATAATAATCATGTACTCACTAGTGACTAGCTATAAGATAGATTTCTTGAGGTTCTAGTGAGAAACCATGATCACTGAAATCAAATCCGTGTCGAGTGAAGATAGTTATCCACTTCAGACAATGGGTAAATGGTTGCGCATGATAATGGATCGACTAAAGTTAGACACTAACATCGTTGGATACCAGCTCAATGGTCTATAGGTTAAGTGTTCAAGAGCAAGTCCAACATGCAGGATCGTAGATGCGCACTCGTGAGAAGTCTTATATTTGAACGAAATGGTCGTCCAGTGCTTCCAAGTATTCCATGATGATCTAGCTTCAAATGACTCATGAATTCAACTAGAAACTGTCAGGTACTATTATATTATCTGTTGAATTTGTCTTTACTATTGGTTAATGAAACTGAATTACATCAATGGGATAAATTAGTTCTGATAATGATAATCGATTATTAATCATTAAGTTATTATGGGTTTATATAGTTTGTTTAACATCAATCAGAGAATTATTGTTAATCAGTAAACGTACCCTTATTATAAACAAAGATGGATAGTGGTTAGCAGTAGAATCCAAGATGCGTGTTTCATCCTATTTACGACTCGTCAGCTAGATATACCTACATCTCAGAACCGATATTCACTCCACAGCTCGAACTCAGTATCATTCACTAAGTGGATAACGCGATAATGTTTGAAGCAAACAGTAATGGGTTCGAGTCCCAGAGTGAATATCAATTCTGAGATACAGGTAAATCTATCTGACGAGTTCCAAATAGGATGAAACTCACATATTGGAATCTACCGATAATCACTATTCATTTTTACTTACAATATTAAGAATATTTCATATGACAAAAAGAAAGAATTAATTACAACTTCTTGGATTGGTTGAGGGTAGACAATAACAACATTGGATGCCGGCTCAGTGGTCGAGTAGGTTAAGCGTTCGCGCAGGAGACTGAAAATTCTGGGTTCGAATCCCACGAACGATATCGTAGATGCGCACTGCCACTGAGGAGTCCCACAATAGGACGAAACGACCGTCCAGTGTTTCGAGGTTTTCAATGGTGCTCTAACATCAATCGGTTCATGATCTCAACTAAAAAAAAACAACTTTACAATCTCCACAACCCTTAAACTGACATATGAATAACTTGTTACAGGTAAATATGATGTATTTAATGTTTGTTTCACTTCATTATAACAAAATCTAGTTAAACAAATGGAATACATTTCAGAAATCCATCGAGGAATATATATATAAGTAAGAGTTTTGGCATAGTTCCAAAGATCTAATTGATCAATTCGATAAGATCTTTAAGAGTTCATCTATTCAGATTAGAATTGATTTATTATTAGGTTAGAATGGGAAGACAATATATTCTTCCTAAGGTATATTCTCTTTTAGCTGGATAATTTGATGATGGATCTTTGTGATGATCCACATCCAGTACAAACTTTAGATAGAACACAATTAAAACTCTTATGACTAAACTATTCAATTCAGAGAATAATGCTTCATGTGAGTTATAAATCTTCTTCATCATCAACAGATATAAGTTTAGTATCTAACACTTAACAAGTAGAAGGAGTCGAGCTAATGAATGGGCAAACCTAATTATTTATTTATTTTAACACATAGATATTGGTACATAGAGGCACCATATACATATGCGCTACATAATTCTCATTTGATATGTGTGAGGGTTGTGATACTACCCGGTTGCCCAAACCGAATCAAGTGGTTTACTTTAGGGCGCCACACCTCGAACCTTCAACCTAGTGGTCTAACCCACAAGGCAGTAGAGCATCGTGAGGAGATGCAGTCCCATGGTAGCCGGTGACCAACGATTGATTCATACGTCATTTGTTCCTTCAGGATACTGGAGCCAGCCCATGTGCACGATTGGTTTGGGATCCGGTTAAACTGCCGGACATTCGTTTTTCGTTCTCTCATTTTCGTAAACAACACCCGTGGTGCGAGAAGTCAGTGAGTATGACTTCCCTGGTAGAGGCTATATACGCGTGGCCATGTGAGAGCATTTGGACATGGAGAGCGAACTCTTCCCACTCTCGGCTGTACCAGGGCAACTGAGGGGGGGGGGCTGAATGCCTGAATGCCTACTGCAATAATAAGTCTTATACTAATTCACATTTGATGGTTCTATTCATGTTATTATATAATTCATATATACAACTACATTGAATATACCATTCAAATGAGATGAAATAATGTTGATTGTTTTACTATATTGTCAATTATAGATATAAGCACGTCTTTAAAATCTAGATTTACCCGCATATAAGGTAGTAACAATCGAACAATAAAAGTGTAAATGACGTAATTAGTTTAAGGAATTTTGTCTCTTTCTCAAACATCATACCAGTGTACATAATGATTGTCTTTATATATATATATATATATAATACGAATAGTATACGGGTGTTTGTATACTATTTATAGTAATCATTTCAGTAGTATGTAATTTCTATTATAGATTCAATACCTCATTAAGATTGAATATTACATCATAGTGGATGTGATTACTTCTGTTGTTTTTTTTGCTTATTCATTGTTATGTAATAACTGATTAAGAAAATTAGGCTCTTTGAAGTAAATGATTCATATCAGAAAGGGTTTCGTAGATATTATAGTAATTTTAATGGTTGAGATCATGAGTCAGTTGAAAATAGATCATCATGGAAAACCTGGAAGCACTGGACAGCCGTTCCGTCCTATTGTGAGACTCAGCAGTGCGCATCCACGACCTCGCCCCCTACGCGATTCGAACCCAGGACTCACTGGTTTCGCGCGCGAGCACTTAACCACTAGACCACTGAGCCGGCACCCCCACAATAAGACGAAACGGCCGTCCAATGCTTCCAGGTTTTCCATGGTGGTCTAGCTTCAACTGATTCATGATCTTAATGATTGAAATCACTACAATCTCCACAAAACCCCTTCTGATAATAGATTTATATTTATACACAATATTACGAGCATAATCACAAGCTATATCGAGGCAATCCGCACAGGATACACATATACCAATAAGAGATTAATCAATTACAGTCCTAAACATCAATGGGAAGATTCAAGTAAAACAACACTAAATGAATTGAAACTTCATCCAATTGCACAAGCAAGTGACTATTAGGATTGAGTAGCTAAGTGGAAAACGTGATGGAACGGTAATGGATTCGAGTCCTGGAGTGAATATCAACTCTGCGATGCATAGTACATCAATCTAATGAGTCTCAAATAAAACTGATATGCACATCCTGGATTCTACTACTAGCCACTATTCATCTTTACATAATAATATGGGCTATTTAATGAAACTATTGACCATAGAGAATATAAAACATTGATTGTCATTTATTTTTGTTCCTTTTTTTAATGAATAGATGATCATTGTCATGAACATTCAATAGTTAGTTCAAATATAGATAAAAATGCTAGAAGAAAATTAATACTTGCTAGTGGTCTATGCTTATTTTTTATGACAGGTGAAATCATCGGTATGTTTTTTTTAATTAATTTATTTTTACTACTTATAAACAGTATTTAAGTAGTTTGCTTTCATGACAAATGAAAACACTGATTTGACTTTATATAACCTTTTCTGAAGTATTTTGATTGATTTTCGTTATAATTATATTGTATAAAACCAGTGTAAGTTACAGGATTTTTCCACTTTAATTGGTTAGACTTGCATGTGACAATCCATATAGGCCTTTTGTATTGAATAATCGTTTAACAATGTCAGCTTAAGGAGTTTGAAATTGATGAAAAATTTCAGAATGAAATGAATTCATTTTATTTTTATTTCTTTCAAGCCTTATTTTTTTATTGAATAAGATCACGAATTGATTGATGTTAGATCATTATTGAAAGTCTTGAAGTATTGGACGTCCGTTTCGTCCTAGTCTGGGACTCTTCAACAGTGCTGATTCATACTCAGGACCTACAGTTTCATGCGCAAACGCCTAACCTCTAGATCACTGAGACGGCATTCAATGGTGTTAATATATAGCCTTAACTAATCCAGATAATCCATGTCAGCTAGAGACAGCTATCAACCTCAGTCAAGCGTTGGTGCGTAAGATTGAATGTTCTGGACGCGAATCCGCGAGTGGGATCGTGGATGAGCACTGCTGATGAGTTCCATATTAAGATGAAACAGCCTTCCCAGTTTTTCAATGGTAGTTTAACACCAATCGATTCATGATTTTAATCAAAAAATGAAGAATCTCCAAAACCCAATACTGATGTTTATTTGCTATGTTGGGCACAAAACATTAGTATCTTTAAATTGAGATTCATTGGAATTGTAGATCGACACACATATACATTACTTTAAGTGGATGCATTTTAGAATCTTAGAGATCCTAAGATTTCAAACGAAAATATCATTACGTAATAATGACAAACAAACAAGATAAACGAATGTCCGTCACATGTCACTTCGAACGTTTTATATCAAGTTATTTGTATATATTCAAATCTACACGCATCAAAGCAATACAAAGAAGGGTACCTTGACATTGAACTCAATATATTTCAAAAAAACCTACTCTTCTGAAGACAGTATCCTTTATAGTTCAATAATATATCGTCTAATTGAGATAGAGCGTAGAATGAATGTAATAAACTTTTGTTGACAAGTACCAAACAACCCAAAACCCAAGTTCAGGGTTATTTGACGATTACCTTCAACCATCTCGTTAGTGAGAGCTTTACAATGATATCCATTTTGATTGTGTAAGTTTGTATTCAATGTTTCGATAGTGATGGCTTCAACATTTTTGTGTATAAATTATTTTGAGCAAGTTTTGGGCTATCAATATTGTGTCTGCTATCATCCTAATCTTCTATATTTGGATTAAGAAAACGAAAGTCATATTGAACAAGAATCATAATAAATAAAAGAATAGATTGTTCCGTTTTTATCCTATTATATCACTGAGGTATCCTATTATTATATCTTGATGATCTCTCAGTATAACACTGGTTTATATGACTTTGGCACTGTGCCAAATCAATAATACATGAACCAGTAAGAGCAGTCTAAAGTTATCTCTAAGTTCTTATTAATTCTCTGAGAGATTAGCTTCTTGTCGAACTCGGTCAGTTCAGTTCAAAATAATAATATCATCTTCCGCTATATGAATCATATATTTCAGATATACACAATTTATATACAAACAATCTAGACTGTAATTATGAGTATGGGATACTGTGGCTTATAAATGGTGGATAACTTAAGAATATTAGGTTGTACAACCATAGTCATTAAGTCAAATGGAAGCTTATAATGAAAGAAATATGAAGGTACATGTAATATACATACTAAATAGTTATGCAATAGAAATGTATGTATTGATAGTTCATAAATAACTTCTAGCAGTTTTCATTTCGCATTCCAAGTAAGGACCGGAGTAAGACAAGGCTGTCTACTCTCTCCCTTCCTGTTTCTTCTGGTGGTCGACTGGATTATGAAGACCTCGACATCTGAGGGAAACTACGGCATACGATGGACAGCTCAGAACCAATTAGACGACTTGGACTTCGCAGATGACCTAGCCCTCCTATCACATACACACGAACAAATGCAGATAAAGACAGCCAGCATAGCAGCAGTCTCTGCATCAGTAGGCCTCAACATACACAAAGGAAAAACCAAGGTCCTCAAACACAACACGGAGAACAGCAATCCAATCACTCTTGATGGCGAAATTCTGGAAGATGTGGAATCCTTCACATACCTGGGAAGCATCGTCGATAAACAAGGAGGTTCAGATGCAGACGTCAAGGCGAGGATTGGCAAAGCTAGAGCGGCATTCCTTCAACTGAAGAACATATGGAACTCAAAACAACTATCTGTCAACCAATATCAAAGTCATAATCTTCAATACGAACGTCAAGACAGTTCTGCTTTACGGAGCTGAAACTTGGAGAACTACAACAACCACCATCAAGAAGGTACAAGAATTTATAAACAGTTGACGACGCATGATACTCAACATCCATTGGCCGGATACCATCAGCAACAGCCTTTTGTGGGAGAGAACAAACCAGCTTCCAGCTGAAGAGGAAATTAGGAAAAGACGATGGAAATGGATAGGATATACATTGAGGAAATCATCAAACTGCATTACGAGACAAGCGCTAACTTGGAATCCTGAAGGGAAGCGGAAAAGAGGAAGGCCAAAGAACACATTACGTCGGGAAATAGAAGCAGATATGAAAAAGATGAATAAGAACTGGAAAGAGGTGGAAAGGATTGCCCAGGACAGGGTTGGATGGAGAATGCTGGTGAGCGGGCTATGCTCCTTCACGAGGAGTAACAGGCGTAAGTAAGTAAGTAAGTTTTCATTTATTTATATAGGTACAAAGGGGTACCGAATACATATGCGCCACACGATTTACTTGATTTGTGTATGGGATGTGATACTACACAGATGTCGAAACTGAAGCAGGTGGTCTTTTTTAGGGAGCCACATCCGTAGCATTCTACCTAAAAGGTTTAATCCATAAGGTAGTGGAGCAATGTTAGGAGATGCAGTCCAACGGTAGCCTTTGACTAACAATAGATTCATGGAGCCCATGTGCACCATTGGTTTGTAATAAGAGTGTTTCAACTCCACTGGGTGAACTCTCCATATCCATCAACCCGTTTAAAGTGCCAGATATTCGCTTTTTGTCCATTGAATTTCATGAAAAACACCCTCGCCATGAGAAAGCAATGAGTAGGTTTTCCCTGACAATGGTTGTATACAGAAAGCCATATGAGAGCATTTCAAGTAGGAGAGCTAACTCTCCCCACTTTCAACTGTACTAACGCATTTAGGGTAACCATCTATAACAAAATCAAATAATCAGTCAATACTTCCAATGTCTCACAAGTTCCCCATTAAGTACAAATTACTTATTTGAAATAAGTAGTCTCTTAAAGTACATTATATTACTTAATAATAAGTATTATAATCATTTTGTTTATTCAATCATCAAACCGGAACTTAGTAATTATGATAATTATTTATATTTAAATAATAATAATAATTATGATTAAATGAATTTCAATTCACTTGGTTGTTTAGGACTGCAAATGATCAATCTGTTATTGCCATATGTCCATCCTGTACATACTGTCTCGATATTACCTTAATTCACAAGCATTCTAAGTAAAGATGAATGGTGGATAGCAATGGAATCTAGTTTGATGCCTGTTTCGTCCTATTTGGGATTCGTCAGTTGAATACGCCTGCATCTCAGAGTTGATATTCTCTCTGGGACTCAACTCTAAGATGCATGTACATCCAACTGACGAATGCCAAATAGGACAAAACGCGCATCAAACTGGCTCTCACTGCTAGCCATCATCCATCTTTACTTATAAATGAATTTCAATTAATATTTATGAAATAATCACATTCTAAATTCATTTGGTATTATTTATTGGTATTATGGAATATACTACTTGTGTTAGATAGATATAAGTAGTATATGTACCATCAATCGAAAATGAAATGTCTGGCTGTAGAAGGTTAAGAAAATCGAAGAATATTGAACGAGAACAAAGAATGATTGGTATAGAAATGAAGGAACAATCAAGTTTGAGATAATTGATGAACATGTTACAAATGACGTATATACTGTATGGTTCTGTGATTTTACTAAGGCATTCTATATTTTCATATTGAAATACATTGTTCCTCACTTGTGTTCTTGTTCATGACAGTACTATTGTTGTTTAGGACTGCAATTGATCAATCTCTTATTGGTATATGTGTATCTTGTGTGGATTGTCTCCATATTGCCTTAATTCACATGTTTTATAAACGAAAACGGATGGTAGCTAGTAGTGGACATTCAGGATATGAGTCCTATGTAGAACAAAACGAAAGTCCTGAATTTCAATGCTAGTTATTATATATCTTTCCTTATAATAAACCTTCAGTGATGGTGTAGTGAACGATAGAATTCAATTGAAGAAGACCAATTATGGAGTACAGTAAATATTTCATCAGTTGTCACTTTCTTTCTGTTGTTATCACAATTACTCATTGTTTACATTTCTGCTCTCTCTAATTCAATCATCTCAATCTTCTTCTGACATGCATTCCATTTTTGATTGGTGTTACATACTACTTATAACGAAAGATATAAGTAGCATAGACAACAGTGGTATTAAGTAGTCGGTTTCAAGATTGTCAATATGGAGATTTGATTCTAGTAAACATAATTGATTAATTGACTATAATATTGTTTAGAGTACATTGTCTATCAATCCAATGACAGAAGATAACGATCGCTTATTATTGTGGGACATCTTAGCAAAGGTTATTCATAACTCCACTAGAAATAGCATCCGAAACCTTCAAACTAAACTCAAAGCCCGTTACTTTTAAACCACTGTGTTGAGATTCAGTGGTTTGAATTGACTTATGGAATTATCCAGACCACATATTTTTGAGATACCAATGTTTAGATGGCTGATTTATGAGAATCAACTGCGAACCATATTCCTTTGTTACGACAGACTAGATAGAGCTTAACTACGTAAAATGGTTTGAAATTTTACAGTAAGAGTTGTTCTTATCAAGAATACAGATACTGACCTACTTACTTACGCCTGTTACTCTTTGTGGAGGTGCATCGACCACCCATCAGCATTCTCCATTCAATGATGATAGTATTTAGTGATCGAAGATTTGATTCCAATCGGATTGTATGAATGATTTGAGTCTGTGACTCATTGTAGAGGAGCATCTGACACCTATCAGCATTCTCCATCTAACCCTATCCTAGAAAATCTATTCTAGTTATTATTCATTCGTTTCATATCTGATTCTATTTCCTGACGTAATATGTTCTTTGATATTCCTGTTTTCCACTTCCGATCAGGATCGTATTAAATCGTGATGCGATTTAATGATTTCCTCAATCTATATCCTATCTACTAACAACGTATATTTCTAATTTCTTATTCAGCTGGAAGTTGGTTTATCCTCTATCACAGAACACTGTTGCTAATGGTATTCAGTCAATGGATGTTGAGTATCTTGCGTAGACAATTGTTTATGAATATTTGTACACTCTTGTTGATCATTGTAGTAGTTGTTCTTGCTCAAACAAAACATCAATACAGAAACTCCTTGTTATGTAGAGCCAGATATCAATGAATCTCGTTGAAACAGAGATTGTGTAACATCAACCACTTGATGGTTTCCCTTTTCATTAAACATATTGTTTGAAGGATTCATTAAAATGAATGTATATCAGAAGGGGTGTTTTTGGATATCATAGTAAGTTCAATAGTTGAGATCATGAGTCAGTTGGTAGTAGACCACCATGGTCAAGCGGGAAGCACTATTTGCTGGCTGTGTTTGTCTCATTGTGGAACTCCTCACTAGTGACTGGCTTCAAGAGGTATATCCTGGAGTTCTCATGAGAAGCCGTGACCAGTGGAGTTCAATCGGTTCTGTCATGAAATAGTAACTCATTTAAGACAATGGTAGATGTATTGCTCAATTTCGTGGATTAGTTGAAGTTAACCATTAAGATCATTAGATACCGACTCATTGGTCTGGAGGTTAAGACTGATAGATCCTGTGTTCGAATCTTACGAAGCATGCTATTGAGGAGTTCCACAAGAGGATGAAACAGTCATCCAGTACTATCAGATTCCCCATAATGATCTAACATCAATCAATTCATGATCTTAACCATTCAAAGTAAATCAATACAACGTTTTAGAATATTTACTTTTCAACTATATCTATCCTATTTACTTGTTTAGATTTTCTTTTTCTTTTTTTTTTTCTTTTCCTTTTTTCTCTCTTTAAATAGGTGGTGCATTAGCTCATAGTTTGGCTATTATGACAGATGCTGCCCATTTATTAACTGATTTTGCTAGTTTCTTAATTAGTTTATTAGCTTTATATTTAGCATCAAGACCATCAACAAAACGTATGAGTTTTGGATGGCATCGTGCTGGTAATTAATTTCTATTTTATGTAATGTATTCAAGGTATTTCAATGATCTAGATTATGATATTGGAATGGTGAGAAAGGGGGGAGGTAGGGAGGGAGGTAGGTAGGGAGGCAGGGAGGAGGCGGTTATTCATTTTCCGATCATAGTATTGATCATCAATTGAAATTAATCAATTAATCGATAGTTATCAGATTTCATGTGAAATCACTGCTCGATTAGATTATAATTTATTATGGACAACCTTTGAGCAATGCTAGATGGACCTAGAGAGTGTTCATCTACTAAACTAGGACCAAATAAGGGTTACAAAACCAATAGGATTTACAGTTGATGGTTAAGATTTTCATCACGAACTGGCATCAGTTATAATGCTAAAACTCCATTTAGCCAAATGAATGAATGAATTTCGCGCCAAAATCCAAGACCTGTTATCTTATAGGTGATTGGTTCATCCATAAGGTATAGTCTCGCCGAAATCATAAACAGTGGAGTTTAACTATATCGAGAATTATTCATATTGATTGAGATCTTGAACTGATCAATTTAAGATCAAAATTGAAAACCTGAAAGCACTAGACGGCTGTTTTGTCCTGTTGTGGGACTCCTCAGTGGCAGTGCATATCTACGATCCTGTGTCGGTTAGAGACAGGTATTTACCTCAGTACAATGGAAGATAGTCGAGCAATTTCATGGATTGGTTGGCGTTAGACAATAACATCGTTGGATGCCGACTCAGTGGTCTAAAGATTAAGCTTACGCGCATGAGATCGAAGGCACTGGGTTCGAATCCTGTGAGGGGGAGTCCTACAATAGAATGAAACGGCTGTCCAGTAATTCCAGGTTTTCAATGGTGGTCTAGTTTCAGTTAACTCATGATTTCAACTAGTGAAACTGCTAAAATCTCCACAAAACCCCTCCTGATTCTAATCAAAATATGCTCATTGGTGACTGACTTCAAGAGGTATATCCTGGAGTTCTAGTGAGAAGCAGTGACCAGTGGAGTTCAACCTTGTCAGTTGTGAGATAATAACTCACTGATGACAATGGTGAATGTGTCGCTCAATTTCGTACATTAGTTGAAGTTATACATTAACATCATTGGATGCCGGCCCAGTGGTCTAGTTGGTTAACCGTCTGGAGCGAGACTGATAGGTCCTGGGTTCGAATCCTGCGAGGGGGAGTCCCACAATAGGATGAAACAACCACCGAATGATTCCAGGTTTTCCCTGGTGATCTAACTTCAATTGACTGATGATTTCAACTATTGAAATTACTAAAATCTTCAGAAAACCCCTTCTGATAATAAAACTTCCCACATATTCTTGATCAGTTTATTCTTCACCGCTGGAGAAACGAATGTTAGAAACATACATAGTGAGTGATTGAATCAAGACTATTATGTAATAGAATTGAATTTACTTATTTCATAGATTAATATAAACTAATGATTCTTATATTATTTGATTATAACTTAAGAGGTTGTTGGGGCATTGGCATCTGTTCTATTAATTTGGCTTGTTACTGGTATATTGGTATATTTGGCTATTATGCGTATAATACATAATAATTATGAAATAAATGGTAAAATTATGCTTATTACATCAGCTACTGGTGTTGGAGTCAATATAATGTGAGTATTTGTTTAATATTGAATATAATGATCATTCTTATTTATTTTGATCGGATAGATCATTATCATTATCATCATCATCATCATCATCATCCAAATCATCATCATCATCATCATCATCATCCAAATCATCATCATCATCATCATCATCATCATCCAAATCATCATCATCATCATCATCATCATCATCATCATCATCATCATCATCATCTTCATCATCATCATCAATGTTCAAGACAATATGTTAGTGATTGTATATGATAGTGTAGTGAATGGAGAACATAAGTGAAGACAATCGAATGTTACCGAATGAACAAAAAACTTACAGAACACCTTACTTGCTACTTACTTAGACCTGTTATCGTCAATGGAGCATAGGCCACCGACCAGCATTCTCCAATCCATTTCTCTGTCCTGTTCCTTCATTTCTAGTTCTATTCAATTGTTGTTCATTCTTCTCATACCGGTTTCCATTTCTCGGCGTAATCCGTTCTTTATTATTATTATTTGAACACATAAATATTGGTACAAGAGGGCACCAAATATATATGCGCCACATAAAATTTTATTTGTGTGAGGGCTGTGATACTGACCGAGTGCCCAAATCGAAGCAGGTGGTTTTCTTAGTAAGACACACTCCGAGCCTTTGACCTAAAGGTTTAACCCACAAGGCAGTAGAGCATCGTGAGGAGATGCAGTCCCATGGTAGCCGGTGACCAACGATTAGTTCATATGCCATTTGTTCCTTCAGGATACTGGAGCCAGCCCATGTGCACCATTGGTTTTCGATCCGGTTAAACTGCCGGACATTCGCTTTTCGTTCTCTCATTTTCGTAAACAACACCCGTGGTGCGAGAAGTCAGTGAGTATGACGTCCCTGGTAGAGGCTGTATACGCGTGGCTATGTGAGAGCATTTCGAGAGGAAGGGCTGGCTCACCTCATTTTCGGCAATATCAGGGCATCTGGGGGCCAATCTGTTCTTTGGTCTTCTTCATCTTCTTCGGCCTTCAGAATTTCAAGTAAGAGATTGCCTTGTGATGCAATTAGATGCTTTCTTCAATGTGTGCTCGATCCACTTCCAGCGCTTTCTCCTGATTTCTTTCTCTACGGGAATCTGCTTTGTTCTCTCTTACAGTAAATTCTTCATTTGCAAAATGTTAAACAATTCACTCAAACTTGACTGTTCCTTCATTTCCATACCAATCATTCTTTATACTCATTCTGTTTTCTTTGATCTTCTTAACCTTCTACCTCCAAGGATTTCACTTTCGATTGGCGTTGCATACTACTTACATCTACCGGCATTAGTAGCATACACCACAGTAGAAATAAGAAAATATTAGCGACATTTTGATTAACAAAGGTTTTTCTTACCTCTTCGATCAATCAGTTTCAAAAAAGTCACCTAAGCTCACTTGATATTGTTTACTTGATTACTCCGTTTGATATTTAGGACTGCAATTGATCAGTCTCTTATTGGCATATATGTATCCTATATGTATTGCCTCGATATTGCCTTAATTTACAAGCATTCTGAACAAAGATGGATGATGGCTAGTAGTGGAATCCAGGAGGTACGTTTCATCCTACTTGAAACTCGTCAGCTAGATGTAACTTTATCCCAGAGTTGATATTCACTCCGGAACTCGAACCCTATACCGTTCTCTATAACGCCATCGCGTTATCCACTTAATTAGTGAGTCCTGATAGCCACTTTTTTGTGCAATGGGGTGCAGTTTAACTCCATCTGGATTCTACTGTTAGCCACCATCCATCTTTGCTTATAAAGTTACTTAAGATTATGTAATGTTTTGATTTCGGATAGGAAATACTCAAACGTAGATGTTTCCCATGTTTTGTTTCATATTTTCTTCTGCTTGCAAATCTTCCTTTATCAATCACATTACATTTGTCAATAGAACCATATAACCAATCCATTTAATAATCTCCACAACCCCAATACCGATAATTAACATGTGCTCACTAGTGACTAGCTTCATGAGGGAATTCTCGGAGTTCTAGTGAGAAGCCGTGACCAGTGGAGCTAATCCGTGTCGGGTAGAGACAGGTATCTACCTCAGTATAATGGAAGATGGTCGCGTAATTTCGTGGATTGGTTGATGTTAAACACTAACACTATTTGATGCCAGCTCAGTGATCCAGTAGGTTAAGCGTTCGCGCGCGATACTGATGGCCCTGGGTTCGAATCCCGCGGGGGGCGGGATCGTGGATGCCCAATCCTGAGAAGTCCCGTACTAGGACGAAACAGCCATCCAGTGCTTCCAGGTTTCCAACGGTGGTCTAACATCAGTCGATTCATGATCTCAATCAAAAACTTAACAATCTCAACAAACACAATACTGACTATTTAATTGAGTTATGTTGATCGTTTATTTCATTTAATCTGGATTAGATACAATCAACTAATCTATTATACTAGTTTCTAAGAATTACTGATACAGCTTAACTGATCTAAACATAATAGAACCCAATTCAAATCTATCACCCAGTCTTTGGAATTGAAGCAGCTTAACAATTGATTTACCTAAGCATTGGTTAGAATGTATTATTGTTCAATCAGGAAGAAAGGAAACAGCTTATAGAATGACTCACTTTGAAGATTATTATTACTTACTTACGCCTTTTACTCCTAACGGAGCATAGGTCACCGACCAGCATTCTCCAACCCACTGAAGATTATTATATAATGTAGGATATTAACTGTTGACAATAAATAGGTTCGTATAGTTATTAGATTCATGGTCTTGAACTATATAGATAGTATTTCTGACATTAGCTGTAGAATATATGTCGAACATTATCGAATATAACTGAAGTTGGAAGTACGGATCAGTGGACTAAAGTGGTTAATGCTTTTACCAAAACTCATCATGAGTAAGATTAGTGATGCGGTCTGTAGACTATGAACATTTTTGATCGAGATCATGATCTTGTTAATGTTAGACCATCATTAAAAACCTGAAAGCAATGGACAGCCGTTTCTTCCTATTGTGGGACTCCTCAACAGTGGGTATCCCCTTTGCGGGATTCAAACCCAGGGCCCTCAGTTTTGCGCCAGAGCGCTTGACCTCTAAACCATTGAGTCGGCATCCAACGGTGTTAATGTCTAACCTCAATTAATTCACGAAAGTGACCGACCATATTCCATTGTTATAAGGTAGATACCTGTCTCTACTCAACACGGCTTCTCATTAGAACTCCGAGAATTCCCCCACGAAGCTAATCACTAATGAGCACATGGTAATTATCAGTATAGGGTTATGGAGATTATTATGTTCTTATTGATTGAGATCATAAACTGATTGATCTTAGTCCATCTGGTTTCAAATCTCGCAAGTCGAAATCGTGGATGCGCACTGCTGACCAGTCCCACAATAGAATGAAATGACCTTCTAGTGTTTTTACAAGTTTTCAATGATGTTGATAGATACAGATTCCTTAGTTGAAGTCCGCATGGTTATCGTAACCAATGGTTCAAGATTCTGGATAACATTGGCTCAGAATCGATTACAATCGTGTAGATGTATACACTTTTTATCTTCCTTTAAACTAATGAGATTAAAATCACTTCATATCTTTCTTTATATACAAAATCTTTCTTATATATATATATATTACCATCATTGAATTCACTACTTTGATGATTCCGATGTTTATCTTGGTTCATTGATGAAGTATGACAACTTGGACCGTTGCACATGTATATGTACCTAATCCTACATTGTCACTGATTAACTCATTGACTAATTGAGTTCATGATGTCAATCCAAAATAAAACATGATCATCATCATCAGTACCATTCTATATTGATTTATAACTTTTTATTGTTCTTCTTTCAGTATGTTATTTACATTACATAATCATGGTCATAATCATGAACATTCATCTACTAGTAATATGAATATAATTAAAGATTTAAATCAATTCCCTGAAACTCAAATCAATAATTTCACTATCAATCATCATCATCATCAATATGAAATCAATAATGAAATCAATAAAGAATTCAATCGTCCAAATATTACTGTACGTGCTGCATTTATACATGTTATTGGTGATTTATTACAAAGTATTGGTGTAATGATTGCTGCTATGGTGATATATTTTCAAGTAATCAATAGTGTGTTTTATTTTTCTATTATTTGTTTCATGTTAATATTGATTAATGATCGAAGATTTAATTTCAATTGGATTGTATGAATTACTTGACCTTGTTACTTCTCATGGTGAAGGAGCATCGACCACCCATCAGCATTCTCCATTCAATAATGAAGATTTGATTCCAATCGGATTGTACGAATGATTTAAGTCTGTGACTCATTGTGGAGGAGCATTTGACACCTATTAGCATTCTTCATCTAACCCTGTCCTAGAAAATCTATTCTAGTTATTATTCATTCGTTTCATATCTGATTCTATTTCCTGACGTAATGTGTTCTTTGATTTTCCTGTTTTCCACTTCCGATAAGGATCGTATCAAATCGTGATGCGATTTAATGATTTCCTCAATCTATATTCTATCTACTAACTACGTATATTCCTAATTTCTTATTCAGTTGGAAGTTGGTTTATCCTCTATCACAGAACACTGTTACTAATGGTATCCAGTCAATGAATGTTGAGTATTTTGCGTAGACATCTATTTATAAATACTTATACCTTCTTGATGATGATTGTAGTAGTTGTTCTTGCTAAAACAAAAGGCCACTACAGATAATCCTTGATATTCAGAGCCAGATATCAGTGAATCTCGTTGAAACAGAGATTGTGTAACATCAACCACTCAATGGTTTCCCTTTCATTAAAGATATTGTTTGAAGGATTCATTAAAATAAATACATATCAGAAGGGGTGTTTGTGGATATCATAGTAAGTTCAATAGTTGAGATCATGAGTCAATTGGTAGTAGACCACCATGGTAAAGCTGGAAGCACTATTTGCTGGCTGTGTTTGTCTCATTGTGGAACTCCTCACTAGTGACTGGCTTCAAGAGGTATATCCTGGAGTTGTAGTGAGAAGCCGTGACCAGTGGAGTTCAATCGGATCTGTTATGAGATAGTAACTCATTAAAGATAATGATGGATGTTTCACTGAATTTCGTAGATTAGTTGAAGTTAAACATTAACACTATCCATCCAACCCTGTCCTGGGTTGTACTCATAGGCTATCAGAAAGATGAAACAAAGAAGGATGAGTAAAGGAGATTGGAGAAGTAAAAAGTACAGAGAGCGAAGCAAAGTTATATGAGCCAAATTCATTGAATCAAGAATTAATCAATATTTATAGTCACACAAAAATAAGTTGCAGATATATGATGAATAGGATAGGCAATGCACCCACATACACTTGTAGCGTGGTGTCGAATCGCGATTGACTATGAACACCGCTACAAGAGACTACTCGCCAGTTAACCAATAAGATCCCCGTAGGCCAATATCAGAAGGTAGATAATGGCTGTAGTCGAGGTTTATTTGCTGGCAATCTCGTGGTATCGAGACAATACCGAGAACGTGCCAAAGGAGTACAAGCGTAAGTGCTAAGCGTAACCGAATTCGTACAAGTTCAAAGTCAACGGAAGAGTAATAGCTGTCATTAGTACAGTTAAACAAACGAGCACAGTAAAACAATCACTGGTACAATTGGTGATAATAATAATTGTTTTCATTGAACCAATCGTGTTCTGTTGACAAAAGTAGGTCACTACACACTCATTATAAGAACAGTGATGATTAATCAGTAAATAATTGACATGGACTTAACATAGTAACCAACATTACAAATAACATGAATGAAATTATAATTTTAGTTGTTAGGTATTTTTATAACGAACAATAAGAAACTTCACTTGCCCCTAGATTTCAGACAAGTTGTTATGTGTCAGTAACGTCTATCATCAATAGTACAGATGACACTTAATTATTGATTAAGGGGGGGGAACAGAATAATAAGTTCCATGAAGTAAGAATGACTATTTATACACTATCTCACCTTAAAATCTCGAATGATTAGGACGAGTGTTATTTCAGCATCGATGAAAAAGTCTTCACATCTCAACATGACTGGTATAACTTGCTGACGACTGTCAAATAACAAGAAATCTAGATCTAGGGTGAATTGTCGGTTTATTTCAACGACCATTCTGAACTAACTTACTTACGCCTGTGACTCCTAATGGAGCATAGGCCACCGACCAGTATTCTCCAACCCACTCTCTGTCCTGAGCCTTCCTTTCCAGTTCTACTCAATTGTTGTTCATTTTTCTCATGTTTGTATTCATTTCTCGACGCAATGTGTTTTTTGATATTCCTCTTTTCCTTTGACCTTGGGGATTCCATGTGAGGGCTTGTCTTGTGACACAGTTGGGTGCTTTCCTCAATGCGTTTCTTCCTGATTTCTCCGTCCGCTGGAATCTGGTTTGTTCTCTCGCATAGTAGGTTGTTGCTGTTGGTGTCTGGCCAAAAGATCTCAAGTATTTTGCGTAGATAACTATTAATAAACACTTGTATCTCCTGGATAATGGCTTTCGTAGTTCTCCAGGTTTCCGCCTCATATAGTAGAACTGTCTTAACATTTGTTTTGAAAATCCTGACTTTGGTGCTGGTTGTCAATTGTTTTGAGTTCCAGATGTTCTTCAGTTGTGAATATGCTGCTCTTGCTTTTCCGATCCATGCCTTCACATCTGCATCAGATCCACTGTGTTCATTAATGATGCTGCGCAGATATGTGAAGGTTTTTACATCTTCCAAATCTTTTTTGTCAAGTTTGATTTGATTATTGCGTGCTGTGTTGTATCAGAGAATCTTGCTTTTCCTTTTGTAGATGTTGAGACCTAGTACTGATCATTTTCTCTTGCATTTGTTGTTGCATGTGAAGTAGAAGAGCCAGATCATCTGCGAAGTCTAGATCGTCCAGCGGCATTCTAGCTGTCCACTGTATCTCTTGCTTTCCTCTCCGCAGATGTTGAGGTCTTCATATCCCGGTCGGTCATCAAGAGAAACAGAAAGAGTATGAGTAAGCAACCTTATCTGAAACCGATCTTTACATCAAACGAACCCCACCTGACACCACACTGAGGCTACTACTGGTCTAAACTCCGTATAAAGGAAGACGGTTAAGCATGGGGTTGGCGATCCTATCCCATAGAAAACTAACTCGCTAACCAGGAAAAAGCAATTCAAACCATGCTGAACTACAAATTTCATTTTAATTTTGCCAATTATTTTTTTATCAAAAGAGGTTTTGTAGAGATTTTAGTAATTCACTAGTTAAGATCATAAATCAATTGAAGTTAAACCACCATGAAATACCTGAGAACATTATTTGATGGCTGTTTCGTCCCATTACAAGACTCCTTAGTAGTCGTACACATCCACGACCCGATCTCATGGGATTCGAATTCAAGACCTACTAATCTCACACATGAACACTTAACCACCAGATCACTGAGCTAACATTTAACGATGTTCATATCTAACGGGAATCTTTATAATTGTAGATAAACACTTCCACTGAAGAGTTCCACAGCAAAACGAAACTGCCATCATCCAATACATCCAGGTCTTTCATAATAGTCTAACATCAATCAATTCATAATCTCAATTATCGAAATATTTCATTTGTTTATCACTACTCATATATTATGTTTGTTTATTTTTTTCTTTTATAAATGAAAGCCAAACTATAAAATTATCGATCCATTGTGTACATTTCTCTTTTCATTATTGGTACTTATTACTACAATCAATATATTACGTGATGCATTAAATGTCTTAATGGAAGCTACACCACATGGATTAAATTTTAATGAAGTCAAAAGTTCATTAATGAATATACCAGGAGTAAAAGAGATACATAATTTACATATATGGAGTTTAACTACTAATAAAATAGCTATCTCTGTACATTTAGCAATTGGTAAGTAGTAACAGATTTATATTCGGCGAGACTCTAATTTAGGGACGACCTTTTGAATGAATTTTAAGTGACCTTGAGAATATTAGTCAATCAGAAGACAGATAGTATAAAGTAAAAATATATTCGAAGTAACTAATGGATTACTGTGAATATACTTCTTTTACATGGTTTAAGAACTTGTCAAGGTTCGCTAAAGGTTCAGATGTTTTGAAATCATATTGAATACGGTATAAAAAGTCATAAATTCCAAGTACCTGTCGCGTCTATCTACGAAAATACTACTTACACAATCCTCCTTTATACTACGTCCCCTGTTGGATTTTCGCTTTCTCACTGCCGTTTTATCTGTCTGCACGATACATCCTACTCCTCCGAATGATTGGTTTATACGTGTTATTTTAGTTGCACGGCAGTACTCATACCACTTGACTGCTGAATTTTCATAAACAACTGCTAACGCCGCAGCCAGTGTTACTGGTGTATTTATTACCCAATTTGCAACTATTATCATAATCTGATTCAGTTTCAGTAGCAATCGAGCAAAGAAAGTCCCCGTTCTAGCAGACTTTCTCCTCCAACATGAAGGACAACGAAATATAATCTCACCACGGTTATTTGCACACTTTACTGCAGTCATTTGATAACCGCAGTCTCACGTACAAGAACTTTTTAGTAATCCTATCCCTTGTAGCCTCTCAATAATCATCCCTTCTCTAAAATCCGCTGTGAACCGATCATATGAGAGCATCAGGTGTTAAACTTGGCTCTGTGACCTTTAAACGGCTCAAACGCTTCTGATTGGCTCGTCCCTAAATTAGAGTCTCCCCTTATATTCTTATTAAATCGATAATGTATCTATGAGATATCTATTAGATTCAATTATAGAAGATATCTTTTATGGGATCTTTTGAATATATGGTACTTAGAACAGATGATTAGTGAAATGATCGATGAATTGTTTGACAGGTGTTTTGTTCTGTTATGGGATTCTTTATGATCTTAACTGTTGAAATTACTACAATCTCCATAAAACCCCTTCTGATAATTATTTCACATATGTTAATGATATGTTTATTTGATTGAGATCATGAACTGTTTGATGTTAGACCATCATTGAAAACCTGGTAATACTAGATAGCCGTTTCGTTCTATTGTGAGACTCCTTAGTGGCAATGAGTATCCACGATCCCGCTTGCAAGAAACGAACACAAGGCCTTTAGTCTCGTACACGAACGTTTAACCTACTCGACCACTGTTTATTGTCTGTAATAATAAACAGCATACAATCCGCTTGTTAAACCGTTGGATGCGCTCACGCTCAAAACTGATAGGTCATGGATTCGAATCTCGCGGGGGGGGGGCGAGATCGTGGATGCATACTTCTGAGGAGTCCTATACTAGGACGAAACGACTGTTCAGTGCTTTCAGGTTTTTCATGGTAGTCTAGGTTCAACTGACTGATGATTTCAACTCTTGAAATATAAAAAGCCCAAAGAAAACAAGACAGAAATAATTACGGTCTATAAATCTTTACTTCAAAGGTGATGATCTTGCACACATGATCAACAGGAGACTGAATACTGCGCTAGTCAGAATTTATCTGGAGGCTAAACTTATAATTCTCTATAAAACAACATGTTCAGTAACTCAATCAGAGGTCGAAAAACACACTCCTTTCATGTTACCGCCAACTGTATTTATAAATAGTACAGGTTTATATTCACTTGGTATTGTTTGTTTGTTTGAATCTTCCCATTGATGTGTTAGGACTGCAATTGATTAGTCTCTCATTGGTATATGCGCATATTGTGCGTATTGCCTCGATATAGCCTTAAGTCACAAGTATTCTAAACAAAGATGGATAGTGGCTAGCAGTGGAATCCAGTTTGACAGGTGTTTCGTCCTATTTGGGACTCGTCAGATGAGTGTACCTGCATCTCACAGTTGATATTCACTCCGGAACTCAAACCATGTACCGTTCTATCACGTTATCCACTTAACTACTGAGTCCTGAATGAACATCAACTCTGAGATGCAGGTACATCCATCTGACGAGTCTCAAATAGGATGAAACTTGCATTTCCTGAATTCCATTGATAACCACTATCCTTGCATACAGGTACAGGTTTATAATTAATAAAAACCATTATGAATCAACATTTTTCCATGATATAATAGTTACTGAAAACCTATCTATACTAAATACAATTCAATTGTGGATTAACTGAAGTTAATATTATACACTATTGAATCTCAGCTTCGTAGTAGTAGAGATTAAGTATTCATATGTGAGATTAAAGATCTTTTATTCAATCATTTGTGGTGAAATCTTGAATGTACAATACTGGATAATTCCATATTAGGATGAAACAGTAATTCATTGCTTCTTAGTACTTGCTGGTTGTTTAATTAGATCGATTTGTGTTTTGAATAACATTCGATCTTTGATGCTTCCTTATGAGACTCATTATTATATTATTCGTTGCTTGTGCTTACTAATGACTAATTTTAGAATACATTTACGGAATTTCTAGTAAGGAAAGTTTTTCACGTTAAGGGTTAGAGAATAACTCTGTGATGTGAAACTTCGAATCCGATGACCTCCACAACATTCTATGGTTGCAACTATCATAATTAACTTCAAAGGGTGAGAAGCTATGATCAGTGAATTTCACCCATAATGACAGTGAGATAATTACATGTCAATGACATTGAATGATGACCACAAAACTTCACAAGTTGAATAAAGTTAGGGATCTAAACCAATCACTGCTAACTCCACTGTCTGAATGTTAAGTGCTTTCTCCAGTGGTGGGTCCACTGATGTGTGTAATAAAATCGAATGTTTGGCGCTTTAACCGGATTGGTAGATATGGAGGATTCATCTAGGGGAATTAGGAAACCCTCACTCCAAACCAATGGTGCACATGGGCACAAAGATCCTGAAGGAACAAATGGAGTACAAACCTATTGTTGGTCACCGGCTACCAGGGGACTGAATCTCTTTACGATGCTCCACTGCCTTGTAGATTAGACCTTTAGGTCGAAGGCTTCGGGTGAGGCCCCATACGAAAACCACTTGGTTCGGTTTGGGTATACGGGCAGTATCAAGGCTAACACAAATTGAATGATTTGTATGGTGAATATGTATTCGATGCCCCTTTGTACCAATATTTATGTGCTCAAATAAATAAATAAAATAACCACTGAAAAACTCGCAATCACTGGGTAGCCATTTTGTCTTAGTATGTGACTGTTCCACAGTACACATCCATATTTCTGTTACGGGTATAAAACACAGAACTTTCAACCTTCATATTAAGATGAATAGACTATTCAATGCTCCATAGTTTTCTATGTTATTTCAAACCAATAATGCATATGAACCTCACAATCCTGAAGGAATATACGGCGTCTGAACTTATCCAATGTTCTATGGTTTTCTGTTTTATCCTCCCCTCTCTCCACCCCCCTCGGCATATCAATATCATTTTTATGCTATAAATTGAATCATATTTCTTCAAGTTATTTGTGTTTCTTTTTCATTTTATATTAGAAAATGATTCAAATACACAAGAGATATTAAAACAAGCAAATCATTTATTAAAACAACGTTATTTAGCTCATGATGTTACAATACAATTAGAATTATATGTTAAAGAAATGGCTGATTGTTATCAATGTAAAGAACCATCAAAATAAGTAGTATATGTGAAGTAACTATCTTCATAATGATGATATATTATACATTATCTGATATTATCTTTATTGTATTCAATAGTTTATTAGATAATTAATCTCTATCATATATGAATTCAGTTGAATATATACACATATTACTCATTTATATTCAATATTTTTGTTTAGTAAATTAAGCTACTTATAAGTAGTATAATCATATTAACTCAAAAAATTGTCATTTGAAATACTTTCTAGACTAGATCTATCTCTATCTTACAATGGAATAAATGAAAATCACTTGATAGAATTCTATAACATAACTTATGTAAGCTACAATGACTATTATACACTTTGCTTCTTTCAGTTCTTTTTTTTAATAATCAAGTCATGTAATTCATTTCAACAAATCAAAACCATTGAATCTCTCATTGTGTATCCATATTGAATTATCTTCATAAATTGAATCCTATCAATCCATCTATTTTAATGATTATGTAGTCACTTTAAAATTTTCTTTCAGCAAATCATTATAGACTACTTATTTATGTATTTATTTAACCTGTAATGTTATTTATTTAATAAAGGTGTATATCTCTACATACATACATACTAGATAGATAGATAGATAGATAGATAGATCGAGATATAATTACTGAGGTATATGGTGCATTTATGATGTTGATGATGATGATGATGATGACGATGACGATGTTCCCCCCTCACAATGATGATGTAACTGTTGCCAATCATTTGAAAGTATTCATATTGTTTTATTAGGTTATTTAAGGTCATATTATATAAATGGTTTTTATCATCGATTAGAATCTTCTATTTTGTTTTCGGTTAATTTGATTATAAAGATTACTTGTAAAAAGAAGATGGTATAGTCAATCATTATTTAAATATCATAATTAAATAATTATAGATAATTAGATTAGTAGAAGATAGTAATTGAGGTCGTGCACAAACTGGATTGTGACATGATGGATCATTGTTGAATAATCAATTGAATGGAACTCGTCAATTATACATCAATATTATTGATTGTGAAAAGACATTTGATAATGTAGATAGGAGAACATTATGAAATGTTCTTCGACAATATGAAGTATCTGAGAAGATTGTTAATATTATCTGGAACTCATTCGACGGACTATAGTGGAAAGTCTTGCATGGAGGACAGCTGACAGACGCATTCCAAGTAAGGACCGGAGTAAGACAAGGTTGTCTACTCTCTCCCTTCCTCTTTCATCTGGTGGTCGGCTGGATTATCAAGACCTCGACATGTGAGGGAAAACACGGTATACAATGGACAGCTCAGAACCAATTAGACGATTTGGACTTCGCAGATGACCTAGCCCTCCTATCACATACACACGAACAAATGCAGATAAAGACAGCCAGCATAGCAGCAGTCTCTGCATCAGTAGGCCTCAACATACACAAAGGGAAAACCAAGGTCCTCAAACACAACACGGAGAACAGCAATCCAATCACTCTTGATGGCGAAACTCTGGAAGACGTAGAATCCTTCACGTACCTGAAAAGCATCTTCGATGAACAAGGAGGATCACATGCAGACGTAAAGGCCAGGATTGGTAAAGCATGAACAGCACTTCTACAATTGAAGAACATATGGAACTCAAAACAACTTTCTGTCAACCAATATCAAAGTCACAATCTTCAATACGAACATCAAGGCAGTTCTACTGTGCAGAGCTGAAACTTGGAGAACTAATACAACCATCATCAAGAAAGTGTAAGTATTTATAAAAAGTTGTCTACGCAAGATACTCAGCATACATTGGCCGGATACCATCAGTAACAACCTACTGTGAGAGACAACAAACCAACTTCCAGCTGAAGAGAAAATTAGAAAAAGACCATGGAAATGAATAGGACATACATTACAGAAATCATCAAACTGCATCACATGGCAAGCTCTGACTTGAAATGCTGAAGGGAAGCGGAAAAGAGGAAGGCCAAAGAATCAGATATGAAAAGGATGAACAACAACTGGAAAGAGCTGGAAAGGATTGCTCAGGACAGGGTTGGATGGAGAATGCTGGTGAGTGGCCTATGCTACTTCACGAGGAGTAACAGGCGTATATCATGATATAGCATCATCAAGATGGTGGTTTGAAGTAGTCAATAGGAAACTCTGAATCTAGGTTCCCTTAAGATTTAAGTTACAGCTTGTTGACAAGTGCCAAGCAGTATGTCACCTGGATTCAGGGTCTCTTGTTCACTACCTTCAATCATCATCTTATCTTAAGATAGTGTTGGTGACGTTAGATCCCCAGAACTAACTTGGAAAAGAACCTAATTTTGTAATTTGATTTCGAAAATTTGAATTTCTTTGTTTTCACTCCAAAAGCGCTCTTTTCACCTTCATGTTGTATTTCCCACTTGGGAGAATCTTAAACGCTATTGATCCGTTGTGTCTTTTAGTATGTTATTATTGTTGCTGTTATTGCTCGTGCTTCTGGCTAATTGCGGAATATACTTTCCCGTTCGGACTTCGATTCTTCTACCTAGTTAGCAAGGCTGGGACGCAATGTTATAGCTAGTTTATTGGTCTTTAGTCACAAATCTTTGTTCCGTTCTCAGTCTAAGTGAACTCGTAACCGCTTCAAACCTAGTACATAGTGCGCACCATGTTGAGTCACTATATAACAGCTTGATCGATAGGATTTGGTCTACACTGAGAAGGACCTGATATATATGACAGTGATCACCATTCAGTGACCATTCAATTGTAGATAATTACTTTCTTCAATTAGTAGTAATTAATGAAATCTATTAAGGGAGAATTAGTCCTAATGTTCGACTAGTCAATTGAAGTCAATTTACATATGTGTCCTCATTCAGATGTAAACTGATAGCTATAAGTTTTATAATCAGAATACAGAAAAACCAAGATATTGTGTTACTTTCGATGAGTAGTCAATAGGATAAAACGTCTTTAAACCGAATTTATTCATCAATCAGAATACGACTTACACAATACTAGAACTATATCGAATCAATGAGCAGCCTAGCGTCCTTATTAGTCCCTTGCTCGCCTAGCCCTGTCAATTGAGTCCAGAACACCGATAACAGCTTCCACTATACAAATCATTTATTTCAAACATACTGGGTTTATGTACCAGCCAAACAGACCACATTAAACCATCAAATAGGAAATAACATTTGTACAAGATCAAGTCAAAAAGTGGCTGTGAAAGTAGGAGACGGTGTTTAATAAACTCAGTACTATTTAAGAATAGTAAGTCATATCACAATAGTCTATAAGTCAAAATGAAGCTTATAATAAGAGGAATAAACTTACGCTTGTTACACCTAATGGAGCATAGGCCGCCGACCAGCATTCTCCAACCCACTCTGTCCTGGGCCTTCTTTTCTAGTTCCATTCAATTCTTGTTCATTTTTCTCATGTCCATGTCTATTTCCCGGCGTAATGTGTTCTTTGGTCTTCATTTTTTCCTTAGGTCTTGAGGATTTCATGTGAGGGCTTGTCTTGTGATGCAGTTCGATGCTTTCCTCAATGTATGTCCTATCCATTTCCAGCGTTTCTTTCTGATTTCTTCCTCCACTATGATCTGGTTTGTTCTCTCCAACAGTAGGTTGTCGTTGATAGTGTCTGGCCAACGGATCTGAAGTATTTTGCGTAGACAACTGTTAATAAACACTTGTGTCTTCTGGATGATGGATTTCGTAGTTTTCCAGGTTTCCGCCCCATTTGTATTGAAAATTCTGACTTTGGTGTTGAATGTCAATTATTTTGAGTTCCAGATGTTCTTCATTTGTAAATATGCTACTCTTGCTTTGCCGATCCACGCCTTCACATCTGCATGAGATCCGCTGTGTTCATCAATAATGCTTCCCAAATATGTAAAGGTTTTTACATCTTCCAAATCTTCTCCGTTAATTTTGATTGGATTGTTGCATGCTGTGTTGTATCGAAGAATCTTGGTTTTCCCTTTGTGTATATTGAGACCTATTACTGCTGAGGCTGCTGCTACACTGGTCGTCTTCTCCTGCATTTGTTGTTGTGTTTGCGATAGAAGAGCCAGATCATCTGCGAAGTCTAGATCATCCAACTGAATCCTAGATGTCCACTGTATCCAAGAGGAATATAGATATACATAATCTAGTTACTGAATAGTCATGCAATAACCATATATATATATACATACATAATATTAGTCCATTAACAGTTCACAGAAGTTACCCGTAATGTAATCTTTATTGCGATATAACAACTATTATTTGCTATAATCCAGTGGTATATACCAAGAATACCGGTAATTCTGCTCAAGAGATTAGTATATCAACAATAGCCGATCAGTTCTTTTTTAATTGTCATGTAAAAGAAACATTTAAGATCCTTTAGATCTTACAGTATATCATTTAAATACTATGTGGTTGAGGGGGGGGTAGGAGATATTCATGTAACATACTCTTAATCTTTCGACTCATTCACTGTTCATATCAGAAGGGTTTTATAGATATTATGGTAATTTCAATGAATGACATTATGAATCAATTGAAGCTGGATCACCATGGAAAACCTGGAAGCACTAGACGGCCATTTCGTTCTATTGTTATATATTTTACTCTTCAGAAATCATACCCAATTCCAGTGTTTATTGTAGTAGCTATACAGATTTCTAAATTGTGGTGTATTTCAGTCTTGTATTTTATGAGACTGAGTAGTAGAGATACTTGTGCATAATCAACTTATCTTCTAGTGTTTATAATTGATAATGAAGAATATGATTGACAGGGCTGTTTATAGATTGTCTAAAGAATACCGTAACAGAGTTTGTAGTGCCGACATGAATGTAACATTATGAAACTACATTAGATCCATGATAAAAAGATACCCCTAGAAAATTAGTAGTCTTATTTGATCTTTTTGAATTGGGAAACTATTTTGTCCCTAAATTCCATTACCAACTACACGTTTGAGATATACTTGAATATAAGGTTCGTATACAAAGATCTATCTAAAGAACAGTTCTATTATTAAGGAATACGGATAAACTGTCTACAAACATCATCTCATGAAGTATCCTATGGAGATTATTGTATCTGCATGTTTGAAAACAGAAAGGCTTTCTGTATTGATAACATACAAATGAATTGCAATATACGATAGCGTAAATGACAGTTGGTAGTTGTCTTGCATTACATCTGCAATCAAATCCACTGTGTTCATCAATGAAGCTGACCAGATATATAAAAGTTTTTACATCCTCCGAAGTTTCTCTATTATGTGTGATTCGATTGGGGCATGATGTGTTGTATCGGGGAATCTTGCTTTTCCTTACACGTTTGTATATTTGAAAAGAGGAAGACTTTCTGTAATGATAACACACAAATGAATTGCAATATACGATAGCGTAAATGGCATTTAGTAGTTATCTTCCATTAACGACAATTTATTACAAGGGTTGATAGAAAGTGATGACAATCATACAATGGAACGTTATTGGTTTATGTAAATACTTTACCAGAAATAAACGTGCTTTACACCAGACGTTTAAAAATTATTAAAAATACAGTTGCTTACTGAATATTAATAAGTAGTATAAAATTATACACACAAAAAACACAAAAGAAAGTAGGGGACTGAGGAGAGAGAAAATGTGAACAAACTTGACACTGTCAGTTCATTTAAATCTATTAACCCAATGAACAAAAGAAGAATAAATGGAGCAGTGTTTACGCAATTTTATTACAATTCTCAGTTGTCAAAAGTGTTTTGAAATACACTGTTTTATTGCTTTAGGAATAGACTTTATGTTTAAGATACATTGCTGTAACTAAGACAACACAGAATTAAAGTCAGAAGGTGTTTGGTGGGGATTGTAGTAATTTCAATAATTGAGATCATGAGTCAATTGAAGCTAGACCACCATGGATAACCTGGAAGCACTGGACGGCCGTTTCATCCTATTGTACGACTCCTAAGTGGCAGTGCGCATCCACGACCCCGACTCGCGGGATTCGAAACGGCCATCCAGTGCTTCCAGGTTATCCATGGTGGTCTAGCTTCAATTGACTCATGATCTCAATTACAGAATTTAAGCTTTCGACACAACAATCACCACACTGCGAAATGAGAACTATGTTTATAGATGAATTTGCCTCGGTTGTTAGGCAGTTTTATTCAGTGGGAAAGTTCTAGAATACAAAACGCATAAAGACCGTCTTTATAATCAATTAGAACTCGTAAATTGATAAATCTATGTTATAATTCATCACCATCATACATATGTCGAAATTGTATAAACATTTTAAAATAGTTTTCAGATGAAGACAAAACTAGGAGGTGAATAGGACATACGACGATGAAGTCAACAAACTGCATTATGAGGCAAACCTCAGGGCTAAAGGAAAAGTGACAGGTCAGAGAATATATTGCTCTGGTAATCGAAGACCGATAAGAAAAGTAGGGATAACACTTGGTGAAAACTGGATCGGAGAGCTTAGGACAAAGCTAGTTAGAGAATATTGGTCGGAGGTCTATACTATCACGAAGGGTAACAGACGTACGCAAGTAAGTAAACCTCACCGACTAAATTGAAGAACAAGTTTCTGATGTATTTGAGATAATGTTGAACCCTACTGTGTCCTGTATGATCATCATCGTGAATCAAATATACATTAGTCTGTTTTATCTAAAAAGCTCATGTTTGGCGCTTGAACCGGATTGGAGTATCCACGTGGAAGAGTTGCAAAACCCTCAATCCAAACCAATGGTACACATGGGCACCACGATCCTGATGGAACAAATGGTGTACGAACCTATTGTTAGTCACTGGCTACCATGATATTGCATCACTTACGTCGCTCCACTGCCTTGTGGATCAGACCTTTAGGTCGAAGGCTTCGGGTGTGGCCTCATTAAGAAAATCATCTGCTTCGGTTTGGACAAGCGTGCAGTATCATAGCCCACACACAAATCAAATGACTTTTATGTGGTGCATATGTATTCGATGCCCCTTTGTACCAAGATTTATGTATTCGAATAAATAATTGTTAAATAGATGCTGAGTGGAGAGATATTTACTAGTCTACTCAATCCAATTAAGCGTAAATCATCTCATACGTAAAATGGACGATGGATATACAGACCAAAAACAGGGAAACACAAATATAAGGAAAATGTATATGGTGTACAATATGACCAATAAGATTAGAATGGCTCATCTGTCAAATAGTGTTTCTGGTTTAGCACTTTTCAAACTGATGGATGAATGACCTAAGTGATGAGACTATAATTTCAGGACGAACCAATCAAATCTAAGACAGTAGATCATGGGTTTGGCGTGGAATTCATTCATCTATTTGGTTAAATAACATTTTGACATTGTAGCTGACATCATGTCGTGATAAAAACTCTATATATAATTCTTAATATCCAATCATGAATCGTAATCCTGATTCTTCACACTAATTCATAACTTTCATTTAATCCTAGTAACTAGGTGAGAATTCTCAAGGTCACTACACAGTTACTCAAAGGACGTACATGTATTATAGTCTCACCACCTAAGTCACTTCATACAACAACTTGGAGGCTCATTATAATCACGTACAGTACTATATATGATCCCTGATACGGTTATATATGTACAATGAAATAACTATTCAATACCTACTTCATGATTGATGATCGATCCATGATAATTGTTATAACTAGCGTAATGATACCGCCAACTGGAGAAACAGTGAATTATCGGCCGGACCGATGACGCACAAAACCCGTACGAGCAGCCTAGAGTCTTTATCGGTCTTGCTTCCTGCCTAGCCTTGCCTGTTAAGTCCAGAACATCAATCTCAGCCAGTGCGATATCAGTAAGTCAGCAACAACGTAGAACTTCGTACGTACGTACATACATCAGTTCGAGTAGCCATACCACATTAACACACAGATACAATTGTTGATTTAAACACTATAGTGGTAGACGTAGTAAAATTATAAGCAGTAATTGGAAAGATTAGGGTTTGAAGATGTTATTCAAAGAGTATGATCCAGTGAAATAAATTTGGAACGAGAAAAAAGAAAGCGACATGAAGAATTGAGAAGATTAGAATTTGGGAGAACACAAAGAGTGAATACACACCTGCGCCATTGCAAACGATTTTCAGCTATGTCATTCAAGGTCTCTAACCATCGGTCGCTATCATCTCGTGGATCCTAACCAGGTGGTCTACACCTACCAACATGGCTCAGTGACTTCGTAGATTTGTGCTATGTTCTGGTCTGGCCACCCTTAGTCATCTCAACTGATGAATTTTCACTACATCATCAATTGATTTGCCGTCCTTACCTACTCGGATCCTGTATAGACGTTTCGGAAACGGAGCATACATCAATGGCGCGAGATTTTAAAGTCCTAGCTAAGGAAGCCTGTTGTCCGATTTGGCACAGTGTTCGAACGTTAAAAGCTCCTACATGTAGTCTAGAGCGTGGTTTCAGGAGACCGGGAATAACGTCCCGCATATTCAAATCGTTCTCACTAGCGGCACGAGATGATAAAGGAACGTAAGAAGGGTTAGTTGTGGAGATAATAGAGTTGTTAAGAGGTGTAGGAAGGATTTGATTGTGACCAACTTTTTCTCGTGTGTTGTTACGGGTATGAGGGCTGATGTCACTTCCCGACTGTCCACACCATGGAAGGGTATTTTCTTAAGGAACATGAAAATGAAGTTGAATTAGCGTTGGTCTTAACGACCAGAGAGCGTGACTACAGAGCCTAAGCGACAACTGCTTGAGATCGATCACACACGACCTTTTTGTGAGAAGTTCTTAACATGTTAGCTCCATTCTTTAAAAGGCCTTATCGCCTGAGGCAGGAATCCGTGAGTTATGGTGGGGTGTGACATTTTTGGGGTTAACCTTTTCTAATCCCTTCTTTCCTTGTCAGAAAGCAGCATCGCTATAGATGCTGGTTGCCCGACGGAAACAACCTTACTACTGTCACACCCCTCTCTACAGTCAGCAGTAAAACTTCGTCCTTAGACTTTAAGTTGCTGCTTTTAGTCTTACCGTTCTCCAATCAACCTGCTTAACATGGTAGAACCTACAGGAACATATGTTCCTGCTAGATTTGAAGCTATTACAAGTTCACTTAATCTGAGAACGAGAACAAAGACTCGGTGATCAAAGATCAATAAGCTAGATATTCTGATTAGTCCCAGCCCCGCTAACTAGAGGAAGAAGTCCAAGCTTAAAATGGGGAAGTATATTCTGCAAACAACTAGAAATGAGCAATAACAACAAACACAAATCAAAACGTATATATACAGCACAACACCGTCCTTTGGGAGAGTTACCACATAGCATACTAATAGACGCAACGGACCAATAGCACTGAAGATATTTCCTAAGTGAGAAACACGATATGAAGGTGAAAAGAGTACTTTTGGCGCAAAAACAAAAAAATTCAAATTTTCTAAACAAAATTACAAAACTAGGTCCTTTTCCAAGTGAGTTCTAGGGATCTAACGTCCCCAACACAGTTCCAGCCAATGTAGCTTAGTTGAGTTATCACAACAGGCAAGCCTGACTACACCACATCAAGGTAGCAACTACAGTTGGGCCTCTTTATAACTCTTTCATTTAAACATATAATAAATCAATTCAACAATCAATCAAATCAAAACAAACACAATGAATGATGCATAAAATTTATTTTTTTTTCTTTTTATACTGGAAATGAAATGAAACCAAACCAAACAAACAAAAAAAAACAAAAAAAATATTTTCACATAGAAATAATTTTGTGTTTTTTTTTCTTTATAAAAAAAAACCAAAAAAAAGAGAAAAAGTAAAACTCAATGTGTATCACTTTTCAAACGTTTTTTCTTTCATTAAAAGATATACAAAAGAAAGAAAACAAACAAACAAACGATGATGGTGATGATCATGGTAACACCCCACCACCACCACCACCACCAGCATGACTGATGATTAGTAATGAACTCCTAGTTACTTATCTCATCTCATTAACATAATCAATTAATTGATCATTATTGTTTCTCATTAGAAAATCACAATGAGAAAGCAAAAAAAAAAGAAAAAAACAAAAACAAAAAACAAAAAAAAGAAAAGAGAAAAAAGAAAGAAAACAAAACAAAAAAAAGAAAAACAAAATTACAATTTATAATAATTCAATATCGGATCGACATCTTTGTTTTAAATAATTACGACTATGTATTAATTGATTATTACGTTGTTCACGTTGATTTAATTCTGTATCTCCAGGAAATGCATAAAATGCTGGAAATATATGTAATTTATGTAATTTAGGTAAATGTATTATTCTATATAATATACGATGAATATGTAATTGAGTTGGTGGAATAAATGATTGAATACATAGAACTCTTAATGTACATACATTATCAATCCATTTATCTATATCATTTGTATTCATATTATCATGTTCATTATTTTCATTTAAACTCTATAGAAATCAAAAGAGAAATAGTTTAATAACACAGAAAAAGGGGGGTTTTATGGAGATTATAGTAATTTCAATGATTAACAGATTATGAGTCTGTTGAAGTTAGATTATCATGGAAACATCTGGAAGTGTTGTTAGACAGCCATTTCATCCTGTTGTTATAGATCCTGGATTCGAATCTCGCAGGGGGGGGGTGAGGTCGTGGATGCATAGCATACTGCTACTGAGGAGTTCCACAATAGGACGAAATGGCCATCCAATGCTTCCAGGTTTTTTATGGTGGTCTAGCTTTAATTGACTCATGATCTTAGAAATAGTTTATTGAATTAAAAGTAATAGTAATTGAGATAGTGAAGATTTATAGCTTAAGTAAATGATCTTATTGGATAATAAGAGAGGGGTTTTATAAATATCTGATCCCTTCTTGAGAGATTCTAACCCAGAGCCTATCGACCGAACGCTTAACCTCTAGACCAGTAAGCTGACCGACAGTGACCAGTGGATTTTGTTGGAGTTTTGTTCTCTGAATTGGATAGTTTGGTTTTGGGAACTTTCGTTGTTATTCTAAACAATATCAACTTAAGGTTTGTGCTGATGATGTTGTTCAGAGTAATGATGAAAGTTCCACAACCAAATCATACAGTTCATAAAACAAAACTTCAGCAAAAACAATATAGTAATTGTTTGATATTACTGGATAATGTTTAACATTGAATTAGATTATAAATGACATATTGTTACCACATTGTTACGTTCACTACTTGATTAACGCAGAATATAATATACAACTAACGACACTTAAATATAGAGAACCCCATAGTCGCAAATCAGAAGATTCAAGGAACAGGAGAAGTGATTATTCAATATGAATTAAAAGTTTACAGAAAATTATGAATATTTATAGATATTAGTGTTTGCTATAACATCATTATAATTCAGTTAATCCGCAAGGAGGCAAGTTATGCTACTGTCTTACCCACTGCCTTGTCGAGGCGAAGATGTTGTTCACGAAATCGAGAGTATGAGAAGAGGACACGGCGAGTCCACCTAGGAGAGTCGAAAAACCCTCATTCCAAACCAATGGTGCACGTCAACCCTACAATCCTGAAGGAACAAATGACATATGAACCAATCATTGGTCATCGACTATCATAGGACTGCATCTCCTAAACTTGCTCCACTGCTTCGTGGATTAGACCTTCAGGTCAAATGTTCCGGGCATTACCCCCTAAGAAAACCACCTGCTTCGGTTTGGACACCTGGGCAGTATCACAGCCTCAAAAATCGAATGATTTATGTGGCGCATATCTATTTGGTGCCTCCTTGTACTAATGTTTATGTGTTAAAATAAATAATATATATATATATATATATATATATATATATATATAATGAAAGAAGAATATCTACTTACATGTGATGGATCCATTCCAGCCATTAGACTAAGTAAATCAATTAATCGTTCAGTTGATAAACATGTATAAGCTATTGATAAACAAACTAATCGACCTCTTGGTTTAAGACAAACATTTTGTACAAGTTCATAAAGTGTTTCATCTGGTACAACTGATAAATTATTACGTGAAAGATTTAATTCATATAAACCATTCAATGGACGCCATTGATATACTAAATAATGAATATCTTCAGATGAAAGACAACAATCCTAATAATAAACAGAAATATATGAGATGGTGAAGAAGATTTATAGCTCAGGTGGATGATTTTGATAGAGTTTTGTTCTCTGAGCTGGATGGTTTGGTCGTGCAGCTTTCATCGTTCTTCTAAACAATATCAATTTGAAGTTTATACTGATGATGTCGTTCAGAAGAACGATGAAAGCTCCACGACCAAACCATCCAGCTCAGAGAACAAAACTCCATCAACAGAAATATACATTTAACAAATGATTAATCATTCAAATGGAGTAACAGTTTATTTGATTACATTGAAATGAACTTCTATTCATTAATTTGTTGATCTATTACAGGATCAAATAAATGATCTTTTAAAATCAAACAGTACTGGACTATTGTTAAGGTCTAGTCTGATAGTCCTCATTAATGTTCACCTATAATTGCCTAAATATTGATCAAGTGTGTGAGTCACAAAAAGCACCAAAGAAGACAGCGGTACAGCGATCAGAAAGACTACGACGACAGCTTATTAAAAGGGGGGACCAATATGGTGCGCGCTACTTATATTGATATAATAAGTAGTATATGACACGAGTTAAAAACGTAATGTCTGGCAGCAGAAGATGGGGGGAAGATGAAGAAAGGTAGAGCGGGAACACAATGCAATTTGTATGAAAACGCATGAACAATGAAATCGGAGACAACCAATTGATGTTTGCAACAGGAACAGTCCAGTTCGATATGATGGATTGATATTTTTCAAATTTACGACTTACTATATGGCTTTTTCTATTTTACCAATTGATTCTGTAATTTTGAGCTAGTGACAATTCGGTTGTCCTCACTTGTGTTCTCCTTCCTTACAGTACTACTGTAGTAAACAAGAACTCAAGTGGGTGGATAAGCAATTGATTTATAAGTGAATACAAACTTACAAAATACGAAAACTAGACATGAATTACTTCATTTGAACATTATTCACATCAATTGTCTCTTATGAAGTTAATCGTTCCTTTATTCCTGTTGTTATTACAATTACTTTCTGTGTACATTACTGTTCCCTTTGATTCGATCTTTCTAACCTTCTGCTACTAGGCATTAGATTTCTGATTGATGTTACATACTACTTATGTTGACAAATATAAGTAGCATACATCAAACTACAAATTAACAATCTGCTTCGAGTGAAATTGTAACTAATCAAAGATATGCTTATTCACAAATTGACTGAATCTGTCTTATTGCATAGATTAATCATTGTGCGGGAATTAATATAATATATATCTAGTCTTTGATGGTGATAGAATACTGACAATTAAGTTTCAGTGTCCAACTATTAGTCTAAACTACTCGAGATCGCATGTACCTCGTTTAGATGTTACGTAACTTGTGACAGTTGTTGAAATGTTTTGGAACTAGGTCTTTTGCTAGTTAGCATTCGTCCTCAACTTCATGCATGTCCTGAGAGAAATGATGAATTTTGATGAGAATCAAACTCGTGTTACCAACTATTCTGATCCTCAGTAATGGGGTTGTGGAGATTATTAAGTTTTTGATTGAGATCATGAATCGATTGATGTTAGACCACCGTTAGAAACCTGGAAGCACTGGATGGCCGTTTCGTCCTAGTATGGGACTCCCCAGCAGTACGCATCCACGATCCCGCGAACGGGATTCCAACCCAGGGCCTTCAGTCTCGCGCGCGAACGCTTAACCTACTGGACCACTGAGCCGGCATCCAATGGTGTTAATGTCTAATTGTCAGATATGAGAGTTGTAGTATGGATCATATGTTAATCGTTAATTGTCAACTTCTAAATAGTCCTATATTGTAGTACAACGTCTCTAGTCTATACTCCCTTGTATTTAATTGTTTCTAATAGGCGACGTCATTCCATGATAAAAATGCCTTTAAACTTCAGTAAAACAACGATATATTACTAATTTCATATAATAAAACCCGAAAATATAAACAATCCGTTAACATTTAATGAACTAATATACTCTCAGTTCATCATGATGCTGTAACAAATAAGTGATAACTGTGCAAAAATAGTAATAATTGACATCATTAAGAACAATGCATACTCAATATACCTTCTAACCAATAAAAAGGCATCAATAATGAGATGGTGGAGGAAGGAAGATCAACAAGAACCAATTAACATCGAGGTGTACAGAACAAGCTAGGAAACGTATATGGAAAAATTCGAACACTTCACTTCTATCTGAAGTTGGTGCTGATGATGTCATTCAGAAGAACGATGAAAGCTATATGTCTAAACCATCTAGTTCAGAGAACAAAACCCCATCAAAAAGCATCAATAATATACTAACTGGAGATTCTGACAGTTACAACACTAAGATAAGTTGTCGTATATAAATAAAAAGGCTCGCATGTTTGTATTACATTGTACATCAAGACAAAACAGATCATAGCAAAAACTGTACAATCACGTGGCTGTGATTTACGGTATAGGATCAAAAGTAGTTTAGAATAGCACATATCTATTCGACAAGAAAAAACATAAGAATGTGGGGTTAATCATCCTTTTTCATCGTTTCCTCGTTAAGTTATAAGGTAGAGGGAGGCATATTACTAACTAGGGATTCAATTTTATTCATTTAAAGCTCCCTAGATATAGTCCTTGATTACTCTACTGTAGTACACACCTACTTGCTAGATGAAAAACAACGAAAAAAGGTGAAGATTGGAGACTAGAATGAGATCTTCTCAGAGTATACTCTTACAATTCAACATTCATGCATCAATTAAACGATGAAATGACCGAAAATACTAGAGACCATACATATTGAACATAAGGAGCTACAAATTCAAGAACACATTCGCTGAATCAAAGAAGATTGTTATAGATTTTCAATAATTCACAAAACTAGTCATTTTATGTCACTTACATACCTATTTCTCTATTTGCTACCATTTTCAAGGTTATTAGAATGACTACTTTCTGACATTGTAAAATGTCATTCCCCCCCCCAACCAATGAAAGTCAGTCTTACTTGTTATACAACAAATTATACAATCGTATGGTAAATGAAATAAATATTCTAGATTAAGGCACATTAAACGATAAATTGAAAAGAATATTGGTTTATTGACAGGATGAAACATGTAAATATTAACAAGAAACATTCATTTTAAGCAGAGTTGGATAGTGACTAGGAGTGGAACCCAGGACTCAGGTATCGTTCTGTTTGGGACTCATCCGCTAGGTTTATCTTGACCCTGGGTATTGGGTTAGGGTTCACACTCGTTCCATATGCTAATAGACACCTAGACTCAGTAGCTAAGTAGATAGTGCATTGAACTGAAATGTACTAGGTCCGAGTAACGGTATGAACAATATTGATGTACTGGTACATTCATGTGATGAGCCCCATATAGGATTGCATTCTCATCACTGTTCAGTATGTATATGTATGATTATCCCTTCTTTCTAATTGGCTGAACTACACCCAGTTTTTGTATTTAATGTATTAATTTATATTTTAGATGTAATTTTTAAAGATTAAATTTCCATGTTTTGATTAATAACTCTGCATAGAAACTAATTTGATAGTTGCCCCCAAATGCGCTGATACGGCCGAGAATGGGGAGAGTCCGCTCTCCCTCTCCAAATGCTCTCAAATGGCCACGCGTATATAGTCTCTGCCAGGGAAGTTCTACTCACTGCCTTCTCGTGGCATTACTGTTGTTTACGAAAGTGAGAGGACGAAAAGCGAATATCCGGTGCTTTAACCAGATCCCAAACCAATGGTGCACATGGGCTGGCTCCGGTATCCTGAAGGAACAAATGGAGTATGAATCAATCGTTGGCCACAGGCTACCATGGGACTGCATCTTCCTACGATGCTCCACTGCCTTGTGGATCAGACCTTCAGGTCGAAGTGTCGGGGTGTGGCCCCCTAAGAAAACCACCTGCTTAGGTTTGGGCAACCGTGCAGTATCATAGCCCTCACACATATCAAATGAGATCTGTGTGGCGTATATGTATTTGGTGCCTCCTTGTACCAATATCTATGTGCTAAAATAAAAATGAATAAATAAAATTTGATAGTTTTGCAGTGTATATTCATTAAGACACTTGTAGGCAAGAATACAATTCCGACTACAATGATGATTGCAATGGAACCATCGATTCAGTGTATACTCATTAAGATCATTTGAATTTCATAGTGTCTTATAATATATAGATGAAGCATAGACTTCCCATGGATGATAAATCAGATAATCATCTTGTAAAAGAGTTGGAGATGTTACGTTACCTAACAACTTCCATTGTCACCAATAGTCATAAATAAACATCTTAACTGAACATGAATCATGTTACAGTCTACATACATATCTTCATATATATTCCTTTTATTAACTTAAATGTTAGTTACTTAAACCGCTTGACAACCTATTTACTTGCTTATATACATATGCTTCTTAAATCTTCTTCATTCGTTTATTAGCATTCATTTGCATTTTCTCTTTATATTCACTTCGTATCCTTGATGATCTAGTGATCTATGCTGTGTGACAATAAACAATTGACTACTTTATAATTGTCTTCTGAAATGTTCACACCATTGAATAGCTACCCTAGTAACAGTTATCAGAATGAATGATATACAAACCATATGAACGGTCTATTACATGATTGTAGCTAACCGCATTGTGGAGTTAAGCAGTTAATCCATAAAGAATGCTGGATTATATTGTGCTATATTCAGAGTTAAATTATTCAGATATTTCTTCCTTTAAAAAAGAATACAAAACGAGGATGGAAGAATTAGCAGTATTTCCATACCTGTAAATTTAAATACTCCAAAGGTTGACTTAAACCGCCAAGTAAAGTTTTTAATTGTCCAGTTAAATGACATCTTGCCAGTCCAAGTCTTTGTAAATATCTTAATGATACAAGTGCTCTGTTTAAAAGTCGACATGCAGCAACTGTTGAAGTGAATGCTGGTGTAGTAAAATTTTGTAATGTATTATTTGTTGTTGTAGTCGAAGACACTGATGAAGAAGAAGTACTAGTGTTGTTATTGTTACTACTATTAGCACCAATTGCATTGTTAGTGTTGGAAGTAGAAGAAGAAGAAGAAGACGATGATGATGATGATGAGGATCCAGAAGAAGAGGACAATGATACAGTATTTGATTGTTGAGATGAGTTTGATTGTAAACTGCCCGTATTCGATACTACAACACTTGGTGGTAATGTCGGTGTATTCGGTACAACATCTGGAGGTGGAGGTATACAGGATGGTAGTGAACAAGCTCTCAAATTACGTAAACTAATTAACCAACCAACAGCAGATGGTAGAACAACAGCTATACTACTTCCAATTGTAGGATCTTCCAATTCGAATTGTGTAATTGACTAGAGGTGTATGAAAAGAAAAAAAAATTTTCGGAAAAGTCAGTCATATATTTAATTCATTTATGATGCATGAACAATTGGCTAATCCGAAGTCACCGAATGAGAAGGCTATGCTGTACTAATCAAAATCCTCTTAACAACACCTGCACGTGATTGGCTAGGAAATAGCGTTATTTTCTAAGGGATATATATATACAGTAATCAGATTCGCTCAATAAACTTCCTTCCCCGCTCTGAGTCTTCTCAATCTGTATAGGGATTTTGTGTATCAGCATCAGTTTGGAACATCGTGCGTTATAACAATAGGCTGGGACATGTGTTACGTATTCCCAACCATCGAATACCCCGACGTGCAAATGATTTATGGTGTAGGAGTAGGTCGAAAGTAAGCTAGGGCTGGTCAGACCAAAACATGGCACAAATCCATGAAGTCACAGGACAAGTGGACTGAGCCATATTGGTAGGTGTAGACTACGTGGTTGGGATCCGCGAGATGATAGCAACCGATGGTTAGAGATCTTGAATGACATGGATCAAAGTCGTTTGCGATGGCGCAGGTGCATCCACTTTTTGTGTTCTCTTAAACTCTAATCTTCTGAATTCTTCATGTCCTTTATTTTCTTTCCAAATCTATTCCACTGGACTATACTCCTTAAGTAACATCAAACCTTAATGTTCCCTATCACTACCTCTACCACTACGGGATTTGAATCGATAACTGAATCTCTGTGCTAATGTGGTATGGCAACTCGAACTGATGTACGTACGTACGAAGTTACATGTTGTTACTGACTGACTGACTATAACAATTGATCTTTTTGAATAATACATACATACGTGTATGAAAAAAATACTGAAACTCAAGATCTAGAGGAAGACAAAAAGAAAGTTCCTAAAATATTGTGACCGATTCTGATAAATCTCAACCAACATCTCCAACTATTAGTCAAGATGATCGGCAGGACTCTTATAATCTGGTCTGCACCTACCAGTATAGCCTAAATGACTTTCAAGACTTTTACTACATTTTATTTTCCCCACTTCTAGTTTTCTTCCAACCAACTCCTACACCATCCAACAAAAGGAATCAAGGTAGACAGTATTTAGTTGCACATAATATATAAGTATCAATAAACTCGATCAATAATGATAGACATTCTCATCGGTTGGTTTAGGATTGTTGCCTAGTACCCTACCCTACGTATAACCTCAGCATCACTCACTTGATTGTTTCACCATACGTGAATAGTGATTTAAAAACATCTAAGATCAAAAATATGCAGCGCACTCATGTCTTATTTTTTTCAAGATCAGTAAAGAGATCAGTGTACTCAACCATTTCACTTCCTCTGATAAGTCTAGATGATGAAAGAGACAACATTTTACATTTAGAGGGGAGGTAAGGCAAAGAAACTGTTCTATCTAGAAGGTTGTTTACTTGATATACTGCGTATAACTGAGACAGAAGACTAATGAAAGGAATATTATTCCAAACAGTGTCAAATATAGTACAAAATTGTCAGGTATTTATAGTTTTTAGTAAGAACGAAATCATCATTACAGTCCTCCAATCCGTATGCAGGGGGTTATTAGCCTTGTCCAATCGGGAAGCTACACGTAGGAATTCTAGAATATTCTTCCGAAAGGTGACTGGATGGAATATCTTCGGCTCCTTCTGGGCCTCTTACAGCTTCCTCGAGTTCACCCGTGGTCCATCGTCACAGAAACAGACATGCTTAGGTTATTATTCAAGTCGTTAGAATAATAATGAATACATTACGCTATAACCATCTAGTTCAGTGAAAGCAATTTAGAAAGAATTCTATTTAAAGCTATGTATCTGCCCCCAAATGCCCTGGTACGGCCGAGAGTGAGGAGAGTCCGCTCTGCTCCTCGAAATGCTCTCACATGGTTATGCGTATATAGCCCCTTCCAGGGAAGTCATATTCACTAACTTCTTGCACCACGGGTGTTGTTTACGAAAATGAGAGGACGAAAAGCGAATGTCCGACGCTTTAACCGGATCCCAAACCAATCATGCACATGGGCTGGCTCCGGTATCCTGAAGGAACAAATGGAGTATGAATCAATCGTTGGTCACCGGCTACCGTCTAAATGTATTTCCTTACGATGCTCCACTGCCTTGTGGATCAGACCTTCAGGTCGAAGTGTCGGGGTGTGGCCCCCTAAGAAAACCACCTGCTTAGGTTTGGGCACCCGCTCAGTATCACAGCCCTCACACATATCAAATGAGATTTGTGTGGCGCATATGTATTTGGTGCCTCCTTGTACCAATATCTATGAGTTAAAATAAATAAAATAAATGCTAAAAGCTATGTATCTAAATAGATGTACAATGTATCCACTTACCAATGGATCAAATAATCTTATTAAACTATACGGTGGAAAATGAATTTCCGGTAATCGTTGTAATAATAAACGATTACATGAAAATCGAAATGGTGTTAATGTTTGTAATGATAAACCAAGAGCAACTTCATCTACTGTCATATTACAATCTAAATGAATTGTAACTGTATCTACAAGAGAATAACAAAAAAAACAAGTCATTAATAATAATGTTATCTGTATGGGATTATAGAGATCAGTAAAATTTGATTGAGATCAAGAACTGATCTAAACTAGACAACTATGAAAAACATGAGAGCACTAAACAGCGGTTTCGTCCTACTGTGGGACTACTACTCAGTGGTGCGCATACACTAATGATAGCATTAAACGCTCATCATCACCTTGACTCTCTCTCTATGCCTTGTTTATTCACCAATCATAATCTTTCATGTGTACCATAAATAATATTAAGTTTTAGTTCATTCGTCTCTGTTTATAATATTGGGTTTTGAAGACTTGACTTTTATATCTTCTGGTTACTGTTCCGTACGTAATTTATGTCACTCTTTTCCCATCTTTAAAAGAATATTAATTTTCCTTTCTGGTATATTAACGGTGCTGTTATACGTGTTAGAAACATATAAGGTTTATCAAGCTAAATAAATTACTTGTTCTGACTTTTACCAAACTAAGATTCAGTGTTCGACAGCTTAGGGATAAGCATAGAATTACGTCTGTAAACAAGTACTTCTTACATCTACGACCCTGAAACCAAAAAAATCAGATGGTCACGCAACTTCGTGGATTGGTTGAGGTTAGACATTAACACCTATGGATGCCGGTACAGTAGTCTAGAGATTAAGTGTTCGTGAGCGAGACTGAAAGCCCTGTGTTCAAGTCCTACGAGCGGGATCGTGGATGAGCACTGCTGAGGAATCCCACAATAGGACAAAACGGCCGTCCAGTGCTTCCAGGTTTCCAATGGTGGTCTAACATCAATCGGTTCATGATCTCAATCAGATAAAATATTGTCTGGTCTATACTTTGGTTCTTTATTATTGATTATGAATGATGTATAATCTCCGTCCCCCAGTCCTATTATCATGTAATAGTAATACACTGAGGAAAAGTCAAAGTATTTTTATTCCCTCCTGTTATATCAATTCATTCTAAAACTAGAAGATCATGTAATTAAAATCATATGATGTTAGAAAATTACAATGATGAGGACTAAATTTACCAAAGACGAAACTTCCAGTGAATGATATTGATCTTAAATCTTATTGGTTAGAGATGGTATTCAATATCGATTTTCTTATGGTTACTTGTTATTAAATACATTCAGTATATTCACATTATAAAAACAAAAATCACAAAGCTACTACTACTGCTACTATTAGTAGTAGTAGTAATAGTAGTAAATTGAATAATGTCCAGAAATTGGAATAACCATATTTTTCCTTGGTGTTATCTGTTGTTAACTAATTAATTGTGTTTACATGCAACAAACATACATAGCTAACAATTTTTATGATTTATTAGTTATAGAACAGTAGGAAGCATCAATGCATTCCTCCCCTCCCTCCCCCCCCCCAAAAAGACTAACATCATGTACTTTCATGAAAATATTATTGACATAGTTTATGAGAAGAAGAAAAAATACAAACATCTGGGTATATTGTGTACAAATAGTAAACAAATGTAATTGAAAAAAAAATAATCGATTATTTCAGTTGCTTACTGATTTTCCGAATATATATACATATGTATGTGTGTATGTATAGATATGATTTGTCAATATAGGGTTGTGGAGATTATTAAGTTTTGGATTAAGATCATGAACCGAGTGATGTTAGACCACCATTGAAAACCTGGAAGCACTGGACGGTCGTTTCTTCCTATTGTGAGATTTCTCAGTAGTGAGTGCGCATCCACGATCCCGCGAGTGAGATTCGAACCCAGGGGCTTCAGTCATGCGCGAGGATGCTTAATCTCTAGACCACTGAGTCAGCATACAACAGTATTAATGTCTAACCTCAACCAATCCACAAAGTTGCGCGATCATCTTCCATTGTACTGAGGTAGATACCTATCTCTACCTGACACTGTTTAGGTCTATTGGTCACTGGTTAGAGAATTACTTTCTTTATACTCTCGCCTATTTTAAATATTGATTATTCTACTTTATTTATAAAGAAAACTTTTTAAAGGTGATATGTTGAATTTGAGAATTTCAATTTTTACACGAAGTGCAAAACGTTTTATAGTCTTGAAGTGTAGAAAATCTACAAAGCAGCTCTGTAAGTGAATAAGATGAATGTACTTATTTGTGTCATGTTCATCGTTAACCATCAAACGAGTATACATCACTCAACAGCAGTTTGCTATGTGAAATGAAGTCCTTGAAATTAGAAGGGATTTGAAGGTTTCTAATATTTGTCCGTGGAACGTCATTCGTGTATAATCAAAACGACCAAATGAGAGATCTTGATACTATAAGTAGGGTACTAGGCAAATATGGTAAACCGATTGGTGAGGTTGACAATCTTGATCGACTAGGGTTATTAAGACATGCTTTATATTTAACCAACCACCAACTAATACTTCAAAGCTTGGAGGATACAGAAGTTGGTTGGAGGAAAACTAGGAATGGGGTTAACTGTTATTCTAAGCCACATTGTTAGATTCACACTAACTGGTTACAGTTATTGAGATCACCGTAAACGATGGTTTTAGATGTTGGTTGACGTCACAATAACGCAAGTGAACTTATACCATCAATGACACTACTGCCACTTGAAAACTGAATGTCTTACCAATATTGTGCCAACTCCCAACTCTAGATACCACACTTTAACAGATTCACATTATTTTAACAACAAATGCTTTCCATTTTATTGGTCACCGGCTACCATGAGAGTGCATCTCCTAACGTTGCTCCACTGCATCAGACCTTTAGGTTGAAGGCTCCGAGTGTGGCCTCCTTAAGAAAGCCACCTGCTTCGGTCAATGCACCCGGGCAGTATCACAGATCACACACAAATCACTTATTCACTGAAATTTAAGCCTTCAATATAGGGAGAGGATAACTTTAGATTATCTAAGATTACAATGGGAAATCATTATCGACCAAATAAGACAAGTTCAAATTTAAGATAAACACATCTCCCTGATGTTAAGAAAGGTGAGAGAAGTTAACAAAACATTCTGTTTTCACATTCATCAACTAGGTGTTTTGTAAAGTTTCAGGTTACTAATGTCTGTCGTTGGATTTGAAAGTATATAACCCAATTTCACAATCAGAGACATCCTAGTTGAATTATTCAAGTTGTAATCCATCTCTTGAAGGGATGAGATATTTACACCAATCGATCAGTTGTTAAGACATGATCTCAAGTTTCCAACTCTTTAGTCTTGATTTAATAATTGAGTTCATGAGTTAACTGAACCTAGACCGCCATAGAAAACCTGGAAGCACTGGACGACCGTTTCATCCTAGTACAGAACCCCTTGATCAAATTATGACGATTTAGTGTTAATTTGAGAACTAATCTAAAAACGTATTATCCTGGAGCATTTTGTTTACGTTTCAGTGATTAAAGACAAGTAATAGAAGACTATACACTTCTCTATATTGTACCACTTGACACGACCTAAAATCGTATCCGGAATTGTGTAGGAACTGATATGTCCAGAGTGATTCAAACCCATCGTCTATAATATTAAAGGTTGCTGACATTTCATTGCAGATAAACACAAAATCTAGAACATTCATTGTCAATTTCACTATCTATACTTTTAGCAGGAAGTTTCATAGCAGACAATTGAATTTGAGGGTTTGTTTCGCTGTTCTTACCTTCCTCCCCATGTTAACTTTCACAATTCACTATTCTAATGCGTTAACTCAAAACAACTGTCAACCAACACCAAGGTCAGAATTTTCAATACAAATGTTAAGACAGTTCTATTGTATGGGGCCGAAACCTGGAGAACTACGAAAGCCATCATCCAGAAGATACAAGTGTTTATTAATAGCTGTCTACGCAAAATATTTAGGATTTGTTGGCCGGACACCATCAACAACAACCTACTGTGGGAGAGAACAAACCAGATCCCAGAGGAGGAACAAATCAGAAAGAAACGCTGGAAGTGAATAGGACATACATTGAGAAAAGCAACCAACTGCGTCACAAGGCAAGCCCTCATGTGGGATCCTCAAGGCCAAAGGAAAAGAGGAAGATCAAAGAACACATTACGCTGAGAAATGGAGACAGACATGAAAAAAATGAACAACAATTAGATAGAACTGGAAAGAAAGGCTCAGGACAGAGAGTGGGTTGGAGAATGCTGGTCGGTGGCCTATGCTCTATTGGGAGTAACAGGCGTAAGTAAGTAATGCGTTATCACAATATTCAAGTCCGTCAACCAGTTAACCAGTTCATTGTGAATTATTCACATTACAAAAGTTAAACTTGTTAGCTCAATATTAAAAAAAAGAGATTATATAATAAGTTATTACTTACCAAATTGTTCACCATGTCCAATATCAGCTTCATGAAATGCATATATAGTAGATATTCTAGAAAAATAAGCTTCAAGACGTTTTCTTGGTATACCAATATGTAAACTAGCCATTAAATGTCTACGTACACTTTCAGAATTACGATTTTCTGGTTTCATCCATAATATAGGCAATCGAGATAATTCAATACTTACACGACAATCTATTTATATATAAATGAATTGTAAAATAGTTTAACATAAAGATATACACTACTTATATTGAACAGTATTGTACATTTTCTAATGAGAATAGAATAGGTTAGAATGAACAACAACCCTATATACTATATCCTGTAGTTAGGGGCGGCCAAACCAAAACGTCTCTAACTTCTGGTCTGAGCCATGTTGGTAGATGAAGACTGCCTGGTTGGGGTCCGCACGACTATTGTAACCAATGATTGGAGACTCTTGGTGACATGGCTCAGAATCGATCACAACGGCGTCGGTGTATACACTCTCTGTCTTCCTTTAAATTAAGAGATTAAAATCACTTCATGGCTTTCTTTCTACCAACTAATTCTCTCTTCCTGTACTATCTCCTTATACACAATCTTTCTTCTATATATTACCACCAATGAATTAACTACTTCTATGAATTCGGTGTTCATCTTGTTGTGCTAACGCGGTATGGCAACTTGAACCGATGTATCTATGTGCCTGGTCCTACATTCTAGCTAACTGACTGACTGACTGTAGTAATCAATCTTATTACCTATGCAAAATAACTAACTGATTAGTTAATGAAATTCGGTTACCATGTCAGTGTACATGGTTTTGAAATATGTTTATCTATATAAGGATTAATGACTGTTCGGAAACACAGTCGATGAAGTAAGACACGGATCTATGACCAAATGTTTGTTATAGCCATCAAGCTGAAAATGATTCCAGTTCATTAAATCTATAAAGCATCAAGTTCAGTTCAAATTAAAGCTGAACTTATACTATAAGATGCTAACGCAGTGGTTCTAATAGTCAAGCATTCGCTATAAAATCTGAGGGTCCTGGGTTCGGTTTGTAATTCAGTAGTAGGTGTTCATTGTTAAGAATCCCAGGACCTTCACGTTCTATAGAGAATGCTTTATTATTAGAACCACTTGGTCTGTAGTCCCTTGGCTTTCGATAATACTTTGAATGTCTACCTACTTAATAGGGTTATTAAATGAAGGTTATAAAACAATTTGAAGAATAAAGACAATGATTTACAGTTGATGGTAAAGGTTAGGATTTAGATTTATGATTTTCATCACGAATTGACATCAGCTAGAATGCCAAGACGCTATTTGGACGAATGGGTAAGTGAATTTCGCGCCAAAATCCAAGACCTATTGTCTTAGATCTGATTGGTTCGTTCATAAATTATAGTCTCGCCATGTAGTGTCGGTTACTATGTTAAACCCATATAACTTATTCTAGCTTCTGGACAGGTCAATTTATCCATTCTTCCTTCTTGAGTCACACTTTGACTTTGTTAATTATCCATTTACCAACCTTGACTGTTTCTATATGAGCGTATGTGTTGCACTTCATATCCCATCCCATTCATCAAATGTTTGTAACTTATTTTTGTGTGACTATAAATATTGATTAACGCTTGATTAAATGGAGTTGGTTCACTATATGCCTTCTCCACCGTGCATCAATTCATTCCTTTAATCGTCTGCTTGGATCAATGATTGTACAAAATATACGTATTCACACGTTATTCCATAACCTAAGTTAAGTCGATAATTCTATACAAGGATAGTCAGGATGTATGTATATAGGGGTCATTAAAGTGGTGAGCCTATCAATAACGATCACTTGTTCGATCTAATTGGAATCAAAGTATAAAGCTATCAAAATAGGGAAAACACTAATTAACATCAGTTTACAATAATATCAATCGATTTTCAATTCAGTGGTCCAGTAGGTTAAGCGTTCGCAGGATCGTGTATGTGCACTACCACTGAAGAGTCCCACAATAGGACGAAACGATCATCCAGTGCTTTCAGGTTTTTAATGGTGGTCTAACATTAATCGGTTCATGATCTCAATCATAATCTTAATAGTTCAAATTATGAGTCAATTGAAACTAGACAACCATAGAAGAAAACCTGGAAACATTGGACGGCTGTTTTGTCCTAGTATAGGACTCTTTAACAGTGCATTATTCCCATAAAACCTTTTGTTAAAAATAAGATAATTATTATCGTAATAATCATATAGCTTACCTTCTTCAAATCCAGTAAAATCAACTGATTTTAATTTACAACCAGATTGTCTTGTTAAAAAGCCTAATATAAATCCATCTAATAAACTTGGTCCTTTAACTAATCTATTACGATGACCATATTCATTTTCAGGGCTTACTAATACAAATGTTGGTTTAGTCATATAATTTAAACTAAGTGGATATTCTTCATTTGGTATTAATTGTTTTATAATTAATTGTTCACATGGCCAATTTGCTATAATACCAGTAATTGCTGAACAATCTCTTTGTAATATTGCTTCAGATAATAAATTCATTAATACAGTAACTGGTAAATCATGACATGTTAATGGAGGTGTATATGTATAATGATGATTAGTTTTAGGGATATTCTTATTGTCACCATTCTCCTTCTCATCCTCATCTTCATCCTCATCATGATCATGATCATGATTATTATTTAATGAATGTTTTTGTTTAAGTTTTCTATGTTGAGTTTTACAACGATCAGTTTTAGAACAAGATTCACGTAATGATAAACTTGCTGATCGTCCTGATCCTGATGTTGATGCTTCTGTTGATATAGTCGATGAAGTAGGAAAATTCTGTGTCGAAGGATTTGATTGTATATCACGAGAACTAAATAAGAAATTCACTATATTACGTAATGATGAACGTCGAGTAGGTAGCATACATGGCCAATCACGAATTAAACGTGCCATACAAATTTCTGCTAAACTTCTATATTAAAAATAAATAAATAAATAAATAAGGGTAACTTTAATAGAAAATAGATCAATTAGTAGCGTTTTTTTCTAACACGGTGGTAATACGTCTAACAGTAGATGGCAGAGGCCTGAATCCCATTGAAAAACATTTTAATATCTTCCTTAAGATTGATCATTCAGCATGCTAGTAAAGGACATTAACTAGCTAGAAATCTAGACCCATCATTTCTTTCCAATTTTCGAATAATTCCTTGAACGATAATCGTTGGTGATTAAAATTAACAGTTTAGATCATGAGTCAATTGAAGCTAGATAGCCATGGAAAACATGAAAGCACTAGATGGCCGTTCCGTCCTATTGTGGGAATCTTCAGCAGTGAACATCCACGACCCCGCCTAGCGGAATTCGAACCCAGAACCTACTGGTCTCGCGCGCGAGACCACTAAACCACTAAGCCGGCCAGGGTCTAACGCTGTTAATGTCTAACTTCAACTAATCCCAAATGCCCTGGTACGGCCGAGAGTGGAGAGAGTCCGCTCTCCCTCTCGAAATGCTCTCACATGGCCATGCGTATATAGCCTCTGCTAGGGAAGTCCTACTCACTGCCTTCTCGCACTACGGGTGTTGTTTACAAAAATGAGAGGATGAAAAGCGAATGTCTGGCGCTTTAACCGGATCCCAAACCAATGGTGCACATGGGCTCCAGTATCCTGAAGGAACAAATGGCGTATGAATCAATCGTTGGTCACCGGCTGGCTACCATGGGACTGCATCTCCTCACGATGCTCCACTGCCTTGTGGGTCAGACGTTCAGGTCAAAGGCTCGGGGTGTGGCCCCCTAAGAAAACCACCTGCTTCGGTTTGGGCACCCGGGCAGTATCACAGCCCTCACACAAATCAATTGAGATTTGTGTGGCGCATATGTATTTGGTGCCTCCCTGTACCTATACTTATGTGTTAAAATAATAATAATAATAATCCACGAAATTCAGCGACACATCCACAATTGTTATCAGTAAGTTAAACCGGGTCAGTTGTGAGATAGTAACCAAACTATTGAAATTACTAAAATCTCCACAAAACCCCTTCTGATTAAAATTAAATTTAAATTGAGCCAATCCAAAAATCTGAGCAGTGTTGGATAGTGAATAGCAAAGGAATACAGGAAATGCGTTTCATCCTGTTTTGGACTATTAGTTAAATATACCTCAGTGTTGATGTTCACACTAGAACTTGAATCCAGTACATTTCGCTTCAAACACTCAACATTTTATCCACTTGGTTAACTCAATCTAGATAGTCCCAGGTTTGTGCGACGGATTAAGTTTTTCTTTGTTGATAAGAGCTGCTGGAATCTTCTCATTGTTAATATTAAGGAATGTAAGTCCTTGGTCTTTTTTTAAGGGTCAAAAAAGAAATGATTCTTGTCTCTCTGCTGCCAGACATTCTGTTCACGACTAACATCATTTACTACTTATGTCTACATAAGTAGCACACACCACAATATGATCTCATGAACTTATTAATTGCTAAGAGTTGCAAACCAATCTGGATGCTACCATGGCAACTACAACCTCATGATTAGATGATTGACCTTTAGTAGAAAATATTTTAGTGTTTAAAATTGCTTTCCACATATATCTATATATTGTCAAGTCTCTAAGGGACTAGTTGACTTCCAGCATGAAATATCTAACACAATACCTTAATACAGCTTTGAATCATCTGTTGATAAGATCAATTCACTAACGCTAAAATAAATTTACCTTCTGTATTTTCACTACTTATTTCACTTAAATATCTTGTCCGGATATATATTCTAAATACCAAGAGCTTTTACTTCATCTATCTCATACTGATAACACATTCATTTTACGAAAGTAACAAAGAACTGTGATTTTCTACTTGGATAGATATCATGAATGAAACCCAAACCTCGAACGCAATATTAATCGATTTAAGTCGGAGAACCACAGAAGTAGTGAACCTATAAAAAGTCTGGTATTTGGATAGTTTCAATAAGAACGCTAATATGTGAACGCAGGTCTATTCAGATGATGAGCTTTAAATGAGACAAGACTTGTGTTTTGTATTCAACATATTTATTCTACATATTTTGTAACAGACAATATCGATATTTCCATAGAAGATTCATATTCAGTCAGTTATTCACAACGTGAAAATTCGTACGTACGTACATCAGTTCGAGTTGTCATACCCACCAGTTTAGCACAGAGATACAGTTGTCGATTCAAATCCCATAGTGATAGAGGTAGTGAAAGTACAAGTAGTAATAGGGAACATTACGGTTTGATGATGTTATTTAAGGAGTATAATCCAGTGGAATAAATTTGGAAAGAAAATAAAGGACATGAAGAATTCAGAAGATTAGAGTTTAAGAGAACACAAAGAGTGGATGTACACCTGCGCCATTGCAAACGACTTTGAGCCATATCATTCAAGATCTCTAACCATCGGTTGCTATCGTCTCGCGGATCCCAACCACGTAGTCTACACCTACCAATATGGCTCAGTCCACTTGTCCTGTGACTTCATGGATTTGTGCCATGTTTTGGTCTGACCAGCCCTAGCTTACTTTCGACCTACTCCTACACCATAAATCATTTGCACGTCGGGGTATTCGATGGTTGAGAATACGTAACACATGTCCCAGCCATCTCAACTGATGAAGTTTCACTGCTTCATCAATTGATTTGCCATCCTTAATTAGTACCTGTTTCTTAATAACTGCATTACTTACTCGGTGGTCCCAAGATATACGAGCAGTGTTTCGAAGACATCTATGGTCGAATACTAGTAACCTACGAATATCGTCTACTCTTACCGGCCATGTTTTACTGCCATAAAGTAGGACAGAATGAACTGCTGCACAGAAAACAAGTCCTTTGGTTGATAGGCGGATATCTCGCCACGCCATATTCTGACGGAGCCTAAACAATTTAATCTTGAATACCAATGGCAGGAAAGTCTAAACCCATGGGACAATAAAAGGATCGGAACATGAACAATTTCATGAAAGTCACTAGAAAGTAAGGTGCGTATAAGAAGGAAGAAGTACAACAATGAACAGAAATTAGTGTATGATAGTGCAATAGCAATAATGGGAGGGACACTTCAATTAGCCACAGAGAATTCATCCACTTAGAGAAGTTACGTCTCTTCTATGAAAAAAAGAAAAGAAAATTACAGCAGGATCGCCACTGGTTTCTATTCTGAGTCATATCTGATAATGTCTCTAGCCACAGTGTTACACCATCTCTAGGACCCAAATAAGGGAGTGGTGAAGGACCGACAGAAGCCAGCTCTTTGCAGCTTCCTTTCATATCACGACACCATGTCATACACTGACCGCCTCTCCACGTTTTCCAACCAGTCCTAGTGTCGGCAAATAACGCACGATGTGGAATTCTCTGGGACGACATTCGTAGGACATGTCCAAGCCACCGAAATCGATGTCTCAAGATAGTAGCACCAATTGGATTATCGTCTGTGCCCGAACACACGATGCTGAACCTCTGAATTACTAACATGGTGTTGCTATTGGATGTTAGCAATCCTTCAAAGACAACGGTAATCAAACACACAGAATCATCTAACATCCTCAACTCGGAGACGCCAGGTTTCACAAGTATAGAGCAAACCTGCTCTCACCGACGCGTTGTATATCCGACCTTTTACAGCCAGACTAACATCACGAAGGCACCAGAAATGGCCCAAATTGTCATAAACCACTCTGGCTTTCACTATACGTACATTGATCTCATCACTCACGCCACCACTAGCAGCATTTATACAGCTATCTAGATACACAAACTTCTCGACTACTTCTATCTGCTCACTATCCAAAGTGAGTGCAAGATCAGGGTTTTGTCAATTTTGTACAAGTACTTTATACTTCTTTTTTACTTTTATTACTAATTATTTAACTTAATCCATAAAACTAATCAATAAATTTTAAACTTACCTAGGAGTACAAATAATTTCATTACCTTCAGGATTCCATTGTATTTCACCTGTATGTAAATCTCTTTCTAATAAATAACGACAATGTCCTACTGGTACCCATATATGATCTGGTCCTTTAAGTAATCGTTTACTTGTTGCATAGATTGGTAAACGTCTATTATTCAATAATAGCATAGAATTATGATGACGATGTTGTTGTTGTTGTTGTTGATGCTGCTGCTGCTGCTGCTGTTGATGACGATGATGATGATGATGTTGTTGTTGTTGTTGTTGTTGTGTTGAATTCCTATCTGTTATTTGTGTATATGAACAATTTAATAACTCATTGAATTGTCTATTTGTTTCAATGAATTGTGTTGTATCATTTTGATTTAATGATAAATTCATTGTTCTATCACCATCTAATGATTTAGCTGTACGTCTTAAACGATATATATAATCATCATTTGTATATTTTGGTGATGATGTACCACTTTCTTCACTATCTTTCCATGTATAATCTACAAGGGTTAAACAACTATGCATAATATTTGATTCTATTAAAATGTATTATATGTCTTCAATGATTAATGAAATTCCATTTAGGACTATTGAAGTATTTATTTAGATGTATATAACCAAATTATTGATTATTTATAGATGGGAATACTAACAACATAACTATTCGTTCTTTATCAATCTATTACAGACATATCAAATAAACCAATCAAATGAAGTCATGTGATCTGGATATGCGCACAAAGGATTTATTGATCGTTTCATAGGTAATAAGGGAATGAAAGGGGGCTGGGGGCGGAGAGAAACAATAAACAGTAAATTACATTTGGGATCCTGTGAATCATATAAACCAAAAATGTAATTACTAGAAAGGGGTTTTGTGGAGATTGTAGTAATTTCAATAGTTGAAATCATAAATCAATTGAAGCTAAACCACCATGGAAAACCTGGAAGCACTGGACGGCCGTTTCGCCCCCCGCGGGATCGTGGATACATACTGCTGGGGAGTCCCATACTAGGACAAAAATGTAATGTTTATTTTAACTTAGGATATTTTTAGGATAACATAAGAGCGTAATATGCCTCCCATTGAAGAATTGTCGAAAATAAAAGTTTCAATGGTTAAGATCATGAGTCAGTTGAAGCTAGGGACTGGCTTCAAGACGTATATCCTGGAGTTCTAGTGAGAAGTAGTGACCAGTGGAGTTCAACCAGGTCTGTTGTGAGATAGTAACTCACTGAAGACAATGGTGGATGTGTCGTTGAATTTCGTGGATTAGTTGAAGTTAGATATTAACATCATTGGATGCCAGTCGGCTCAGTGGTCTAGTGGTTAAGTGCTCGCGCGCGAAACCAGTAGATCCTGGGTTCGAATCTCGCAGGGGGTGAGGTCGTGGATGCGCACTGCTGAGGAGTCCCACAATGGGACGAAACGTACGTCCAGTGCTTCCAGGTTTTCCATGGTGGTCTAGCCACAATTGACTCATGATCTTAACCATTGAAATTATTACAATCTCCACAAAAGCCCTTCTGAAAATAAAAGTGTCATAAACCTTTTGCTTAGTAAATCTTCTTTATACTACTTACTTACTCCTGTTAGTCCTCGTAGTAGAGCATAGGTCACCCAACAGTACCTGATATTTCAAATATTCAACATTTTGTAAAATTAAATTCTGCAACATGGCAATTGGATAAGATACTGATTGTTATGTCGAAAGAAAAAAAATCTGATTTTAGCGCTGGTTGTATTGTGTCCCTTGTAAAATAGGACTGTAATGACAGGGAAGTAGTCATATGATATCTCTTGTTTGATTACTGATCAGTCCATTAGTATTCCCAGTAGGACCAGTTACCATCTAAGTACCGACTAATATATCGACCAATGAACAGCAACCAAGATGTTAACACTTGTAGATCTTCAAGTTCATTCTAACCCACCGTTCAATCAGAAGGCGAAGATATAAGTAGATCAGTTCTCGATTATCAGCCAGTCAGTCACAACGTGAAAATTCGTACGTACGTACATCAGTTCGAGTTGCCATACCCACCAGTTTAGCACAGAGATTCAGTTATCGACTCAAATCCCATAGTGATAGAGGTAGTGAAAGTATAAGTAGCAATAGGGAACATTACGGTTTGATGATGTTATTTAAGGAGTATAATCCAGTGGAATAAATTTGGAAAGAAAATAAAGGACATGAAGAATTCAGAAGATTAGAGTTTAAGAGAACACAAAGAGTGGATGTACACCTGCGCCATTGCAAACGACTTTGAGCCATATCATTCAAGATCTCTAACCATCGGTTGCTATCGTCTCGCGGATCCCAACCACGTAGTCTACACCTACCGATATGGCTCAGTCCACTTGTCCTGTGACTTCATGGATTTGTGTCATGTTTTGGTCTGGCCGCCCCTAAATTTCTGTCAACCTACTCCTACTTCTCTATTATACTTAATCATAAATCAAAACTCATATATATAGTAGTGTACTTGAAATGTTTAGCAACACAACAACGCAATTAAGAGAATTATAATGTATACATAACTATACCATAAGTGGTGAGATTATAATTTATGGACAACCGTTGAGCGACTCTAAAAAGACATTGAGAATGTCCATCTACATACTACGGTTAAATAATGGTTATTATTCGCCTCTTCTTATCATTGATCAAATACAAACTTTAACATTAAGATATACATATATGTATATATATCCTTTGTCATCTACATTGAGGTTTTTTAAGGTATGATGGATCATACAAACAATGCTTTGTTCCATTTTAAGCGGTCTCGTAACCCATACTTCCTATATTAGATTAAAGTATGGTAAGGATACATATAGGTCAGTGTGTTATGAATGAACAACAGATAGGTCAGATGAACTAAACTCTCCATGAATTCGTTATGGAATATTCTCTCTGTCTGAATACAATTTTGATATACTATCATAAGAGAATCTGAATGTAATCAAATATTTCGCTTAAACTTTCAGAGACTGATTTGTAGAAAGATTTGAAATAATCAAACAATAAACTAATTTCAGAAAAAGTTTTTATGGATAGTGATTTCAATGGTTGAGATCATGAGTCAATTAATGCTGAAAGCATTAAACAGCTGTTTCGTCCCCATTATTGGACTCCTCAGTGGCTGTGCGCAACCACTATCCCACCTTGACAGATTCGAACACAGGATCAATCAGTCTCACGTGCGAGCGTTTAAACCACTAAACCAGTGAGCCGGTATCCAATGGTGTTAATGTCTAACTTTAATTGATCCACCAAATTGAGCAACATTGACCGATCAATGCTTCCAGGTTTTCCATGGTGGTCTAGCTTCAATTGACTCATGATTTCAATTATTGAAATAAACTAATTTATTAAACCATTGACTGCAATTTTATCATTCATTACACTATATCAATGTTAGTGATTAAGACTACTGGATAGGTCATATATTACTAGACAAATTTATTACGCTTTAAACTTAATCATGTTTTGGACTATTAATTTGAATATGGAATTGTAGAACCTGAATAGAATTCATTGTTTAATAGTTTGGTTCAACAGTAAGTAGTTTAGAACAAAGAAGAAAGCTACCTCAATCATTATCAAAAGCATAAACAATTGTCTACTCATGATACTCAATGTTTATTGATCGGATACCATAAGCAACAGTCTACTGTGAGAAAGGGCAAACCACCTTCCAACAAAAGAGGAAATAAGGAAAAGACTTTGAAAGTGTATAGGATACACATTAACGAAATGATCAAACTACACTACGAAGCAAACCCTAATTTGGAATCCTGAAAGAAAACAAAAAGAGAGGAAGACCAAAGAACACATTAAGTCAAGAATTGGAAACGGACATCATAAGGATAAATAACAACTGGAAAGGATAATTCAGTACAGATTTAGATGAAACATGTTGGTAAGTTGTCTATGCTTCTTCACGAAAGGTAACAGACGTAAGTAAGTAAATAATCTTTAAATTAAACTTCATTTCTACAAAACACTTGATATTTTGTTATTGTCTTAAGGCTAAACAGAAAAGGTTGGATAAAATCTATGTTGTTGTTTATGAAAGCATATAATCATATGATCACTTGTTGTTATATGTCAGACTAATCAAAGTATCATAATGTTAGACATGTACTTTGTAAGATGTTCCATTTACATTTTTTATGACCTTAAAGGTCATTTATTGTGTAAAAACTGTACACTAAAATTAGTAATAGTAAAACAATACAAATCATTTGAAGTGTACTTCAGATTATAATGAAACAATAAGTGATATTGTAGTAAGCAATGATAGATAGTGGTTAACAGTGGAATTGAGTTTGATGCACTTCTAGTCGTATTTGGGATTTATCATCTCGATGTACCTAAATCCTAGAGTTGATGTTCACTCTGGGACTCGAACCCAGTATCATTTGCTTCAAACGCTATCGCAATCAAGCAAGTGGCTATCAGGACTCAGTAGATAAGTGGATAATGCGATGGCGTTTGAAGCGAATGGTAATGGGTTCGAGTCCCAGAGTGAGCATCAACTCTGAGATGCAGGTACATGCAGCTGACGAGTCGCAAATAGGAGGAAACACGCGTCAAACTGGATTCCACTGCTAGCCACTATCCATCATTGCTTACACTACAAAAAGCTTGTGAATTAAGGCAATATCGAGGCATACGCACAGTATGCACATATACCAATAACAAACTGGTCAATTGCAGTCTTAAACATCAATGGTAAGATACAAGCTAAACAATACCAAGTGAATAAGTGACATTGGTTTCACATGTTATCATATGGTATGTTTGTTCATATTTTGATACTCACTGCTGATGAGTCCCACAACTGGACGAAACGGCCGTCAAACAGTGCTTCCAGGTTTTCCATAGTGGTCTAGCTTCAATTGACTCATGATCTTAACCACTGTAATTAACAACATTTAAAATATTCATGGAAGGTAGCCCGTACATATATATATCTGCAATTCACACTTATTGTACATGCTTAAATGACATTTTGTAATAATAATACACTATTATATAGTGGTATTATTTTGGTGTATACTACTGATATCGACAGATATAAGTAGTATGTATTATCGATCGAAAGTGAAATGTTTGTAGGCAAAAGGTTAAGTAGATCAAAAAAAAAAAAAAAGAGAACGAGAACAGGGAATGATTAGTGTGGAAATGAAGGAACAGTCAAGTGTGAGATGATCGATTGACATTTTGCAAATGAGGGATTTACTGTATAGTTCTCAGATTTTACTAAGATGTTCTGTAATTTTGTATATAGGTATATTTGACTGTCTCCACTTGTGTTCTTGTTCAATGCATCATTTGTTATATCCCGACGAGGATAGAGGATGGTGACTATCGGGATCTAGTTATGTACTATTACTACACATATTCATGTCCCTTTTATTATGAGACGTATTTTGACTTATGAACTATGATTATACGATTTACCATTCTTGAGTTATGCCCAGTCTATT